ACAAATCTTACACAGCCTTATATTTTCTTTAAAAGTTGCATACGAGGATATTAAATGCTTTATAGACAAGAAAATAAAAAACAGCATTCAAACCGTTACTCCTCCTCATCTTCCCATACTTCTCTTCATCTTCCTCATCTGCATAATTTCCTTCTCTTTTCTTCTTTTCCGTCGTAACTCCCATTTTCTGCTGCACCAGGCTTTTCATTCAGCTCAGCATACAGCAACAATCCTTTTTGTTATTTTTCCTTCGGTTGACCAGCCTTCTTAAGACTGCTTGTCAGCAGGAGTGTTACTGGTTACTGCACATGTGTATGAATTTCCTTGTAAATATCACCAGTGGATAGGCCAGGGGATTCTCCTTTGATCTTTGAGTGTTGCTCAAAATAAAACAGAAAGGCCCAAGGGCACCCCTTAAGTGTATTGGGATTCTTAAACAGCTTTTTCCACCCCCATCAGAGGAATGTAGGTTTCCATTTGTCTTCTATTAATGAGTCTGGTTTGCTTTTTCCACATCTTCAAATTTCCCCTTCTCTTTAGCAGACACAATCTTTTCACCACCCTGAGAGCTTCTTGGAAAACGGAGGAAAATGAAATGTCTGGGTCCTTCTCCTTGTATTCCTTCCAGTAAATCTGAACAAAAGATGTCTATGATGGTATTTTGCTTCTTGGCTTCTTTGTCCATGTTGAATTCATTTTTCCTCTGTGAGGCAGTTCCCCATGCCTGCTTAGTTCTCACTTGTCCCGGCACTGTCCTTATGGAGCTCAATGCATTGCAATGGCTGACAATGGGAGCAAGATGCAGCTTTTTGATTCGCTCCAATGTGTAATCTTTGTCTTATATTGATAACTATAAATTTCTGAGGCTGCACCTGTTGCGCCAGTATCCCATAGGGGCACTGGTTTGAATCTTGGCTGCTCCACTTCTGATCCAGCTCCCTGCTTATGGCCTGGGTAAGCAGTAGAGGAAGATTCAAGACTTTGAGCCCCTGCACCCATGTGGGAGACCTGGAAGAGGCTCCTGGCTCCTTCTTGGCTCTGGAACAGCCCAGTTCCGGCCATTGTGGGTACTTCGGAAATGAACCAAAGGATGCAAGAATGTTTAGTCTCTTTCTCTCTCACCAAAGGATGCAGGAGGTGTGTGTAACTCTGCCTTTCAAATAACAATAAATATTTTTCTAAAAAATGGGAATAAGAGAGATCAAGCCACTCTTGAGATTAGATTACAAAGACAGAGAGAAAACCCTTCCTTATACAGTTTATAACAGCATTCTAAATAATATTAAAAAACGAAATTAGGTTTCTGACAGCAACCCATACCACACGTCATTTTTCACTGCTTTTGTTAATATCTCCAGAAGACACAGATATAAATTATTCTGGCCTTTCCTAAACAGTTGGGCCCTGATAACAAAATAAGAAAAATCTTCCTCCACATCCCAAATTACATTCTAGTATTAGAGAAATGCAATAGCAAAAATATCTTATTACTGAATATTATGATGTATCCCTCAAATCGTATGCTCAATGGGAAAATCTGAAAAGTTCAAAAAAAGCTACAAAATTTGCCAAAAATGTAAGTCTAGCGGTAGTGTCTTTTGACCATGTTCAAAGCCTCTGCATGAATTGGTATGCTTTTCCCAAACAGCGGCTTAAGCACGATGCATAGTAGAGAGCTCCTGAAGCGGATTGTCATTTCTTGCTACACTATGGTGGTTCTAGAAAAATAAATTATAATGTTGGATCTATATATAATTGGGTTTATGTGCTTCCTTGACATTTACCATGGAACCAAGCCCACCAGGTTTACCAGATGGGCCTACAAGTACTATACACCCCAAACTTTAGAACCAGTTCTATAGGTAAGGCAAAGGAAATCAGCACAGTAAATTCTACATTTTCTGCAAATTATTATCTAGTTCTGGTCACAGGCTCTAGTACCTTCCAGTTATGTTACTCTGGGTAAATTACTTAAGCTGTCTTTTATTCAGTTTCTTAATTTGAACAAAATGGATGCGATCACTGCTCTAGACAGAACGAAGGATTTGCTTGTATCAGGTGTACCTAGTGCTATAATTCCCAAGTGCTTCCTCATCCTACTGACTCTACAGAAGCTGGAAACCTCTTTCCCTTAATTGACACGGATGCACACTCTGAACACACATCATCATCATTAAATGCAACAAGGGCTCAATCACTCTGTTACCTTGTCCTGGGACCCCTGAATTCTATGAACCCTTTCCTAAACAGAAATCAACCCAAAACATTCAGGAAAAGACCATAGTAGAAAAAAAAAAGGGGGGTGTACAGAGATGATGGTGTGGTGCTCCCTGCCCAGTGGCTCGAAACACGGAGGTGGTACATTGGCAAGTAAAAGGTGATCTTCCCACCATCCAAGAACCGCAGCCTTTGTACCCAGAAACACAATTTGGCATACTTCCTGGACCTTATGCCACCCTAGTCACTCCTGCTCCTAACTGGATTTTTCTATGACTCTGGGACAGTGACATCCAATCTACAGTGCAGATCGATGCAAGAGTCACAATAACCTTACCCCAACATGCTCTTATGCAATTATTTTCATCAAGGCCTGGTACATCTAGGTGAGGAACTGCATGCTGTATGCTCTGCCCTGCTTGTAAGCCAGTAGCGAGCCTGTTCATATCTTATGGGTATCCCAAACCTAGGTCAGGGGTAACCACGTGTGCATCGTATATATTATGTCCTGCTTGCAACTGGACAGCAAGCCCATTCACACAACTCATGCATATTTGAGACTGAAGTCACAGAAAAATACTGAACCACTCATTGTCCTGGAGGGAACTTCAGGATCCATACATTCACTTCCAATCATGCAGAGACTCAAGGGTATCATATGGATGCAGATAATGGAGTGGTTACCATGTCCACTTTTTAAAGTTTCACTTATTTTTTTTACACGTTTTCTACCACCCCGCCAACCCCCACCTTTCTCAACCCTATGGAAGGGCGACTATCCCACCCACCCACCCACCCCCATGAATGGAATTTCCCTACTCCTCCAAGTTGGCTAATACTCTATATATGCTAAGGCACGGTTATGACAGCACACACTTAGAAAAACAGCCCTAACAAACTGAATTAGTATAAATTTTCCTTTAAGTTTTGGGCCTTAAAATTAGTTATCTGGAATATGACACTTCTTTTTTAAATTCTTTTCATTTTTCTGTGAAATATACATATTCATTTCTTTCCCCTTAGCTCTTTATTTTCCCTAACACTTGAGCCTGCATTCCTGTGATTAGCACATGGAAGATGCCGAGCACACATGAACAGGACCGGGGGGGCGGGGCCTGCTGTGTGCAGGGGCAGTAGTGGCTGACTTGCAGTCTCCTCCTCGGGGTGGGATGGGACAGGAGCAGCTGTAGCTGGAACACCCATCGCTGCATTCTAGCCCAGATGCAGGGCAACAGCTACACATGTGGCTTTGCCACCAGGGGGAGCTCTTTCATTCTGAGTGGGTGTCTGGGGTTCAAGCTCAATGGAAATCGAATCTCAATTCACAAAGGGCCTTGTGGATGTGGAACATGTTTTAACAAAGTGAGGGAGAAAATTTAAAAAGATATTAAGCACACAGAGCTGCTGTAACACTTGTCCCTATCTTATCTATATATGACTATCTGCAAATAGTTCAGTGAAATAAAAAAGGTGTTAGTATAGGCCAAATAAGTGAGTCCAGTCAGGCTACAATTACAGCGTAACCTGCTTCAACAGAATCTAAGAGAAATGACCAAAGGAAAAAAAATGCCAAAACGCTGCTCAAAAATCACGCGAAGAGCCCACACTTCCAGCCATGCTGACCCCTGGCTCCCAGCATGTTTGCCTGATAAACACAGACTCCCTATAAGCAGCTCCAGGCTCATGCACAAACAAGTCTGTGCTGACCACGGTCAGGAAGGTCACCGAGTGTCGCTCCCTAGGCAACACACTCGGAATGCAAGGCTGGAGGAAAAAGAGCCTCACGGCTGACACAGAGGAGCCCTGCGACTCATCTGTGCCCAACAGCCGCTCTGTCGCACAGCAGAAGTAGCGACGGGCAGCCAAACTTATGAGTAAATGGTGAAGGTAGTATCTGAAATATAGTCTGATGCTTACCTGTTCCTAAGCTACATATGTGAAAGCAGGGACCTATTACTAGGAAGGGGAGGTTGAACATGCAGGCTGTAAGTCTAAGAGTAGAGTTGACACTGAAGATCACGCAGCCAGTTTCTCACATACAGGAACACTCCTTCCCAAAACAGTTGTTCGACCTGCTGAGTGCCATTTCTGACAGGCTTGTCCATCTTAATGACAGAGTGCCTCCTCTGTGTTACTTTGCTAACAACTAGTTCAGTCTGACTTTATAAGAAAATGTTTTTGCAATATTCATTACATTCATTTATTTTCTTCTGGAATCTTTTTTTCCCCCTCAAAAAAGATGCATTTATTTATTTGAAAGGCAGAGTGACAGGGACAGGGAGAGACAGAGAAAGAGAGAGATCTTCCATCTGCTGGTCGACTCCCCAAAGGCCTGCAACAGCCAGGGCTGGGGCAGATGGAAGCCATGAGCCCGGAACTCCATCGGAGTCTTCCATATGGTTGCCAGGCACCCAAGTCATCGGGACATCATCTGCTGCCTCCCCGTGTGTACTATTAGGAAGCTGGATTATAAGTGGAGCGTCTGGGACTTCAACTAGCTCTCTGATATGGGATGGAGGCATCCCAATGGGCAGCTTCACATCCTGGGTCCCAGTGTCTCCTCCGCTCCGGTGAATGTTTTGATGCTTGTTGAGATGCGACTTCTGGCAAAAGCCTTTTCCACATTCCTTACACTCATAGATTTTCTTACCTGCATGGATTCTTTGATGAATCCTGAGGTTTGACTTCTGGCAAAAGGTTTTGGCACACTCTTTACACTCATAGGACTTTCCTACTGTTTGAAGTTTCTCATGCCTAACAAGGCCTGACTTGCGGGAAAAGGCTTTTCCACACTCATTACACCCATACGGTTTCTCTCCCGTATGAGATCTCTGATGGATGATCAGGTATGACTTCTGGTAAAAGGCTTTCCCACATTCATTGCACGGAAAAGCTTTCCCCTCCGTGTGAGTTCTGCGATGGATAAGTAGATTTGACTTGAGATAAAAGGCTTTTCCACAGTCGTTACATTCAAAGGGTTTTTCCCCTGTGTGAGTTTGCTGATGCCTGCTCAGGCTCGTCTTCCTGAAGAACGTTTTCCCACACTCATTGCACTCATAGGGTTTTTCCCCAGTATGTGTTTGCTGATGCATGATGAGGTTTGCCTTCCTGCAGAACTTCTTTCCACAATCACTACATTCATAGGGTTTGCCCCCTGTGTGAGTTTGCTGATGCCTACAGAACAGAGACCAGTGGTAAAATGACTTCCCACACTTTTTGCATTCGTACAATGTTCTCTGATGCTGCGAGAGAGATGACTTATAGAAGAAGGTTTTCCCACACTCTTTACATTCGTATAGTTTCTCACCTGTGTGCAGTCTCTGATGTGTCCGGAGGCTCGACTTTCGGCAGAAGGTTTTCCCACAGTCACTGCATTCGTAGGGCTTTTCCCCGGTGTGAATTCTCTGATGAATGATAAGATCTGACTTCTGGTAAAAGCTTTTTCCACATTTATTGCATTCATTGTTCTTTTCCTCCGTGTGAGTCCTCTGATGGCGATGGAGGTTTGACTTGCGGCAAAACGTTTTCCCGCACTCATTGCACCAATAGGACTTCTCCGACGAGCTAATTCTGTGCTGGACAGTAAAGTTTGGCTTACAGATGAAAGGTTTCTCACAATCACTACAGTTACATGGGTTTTCTCCTGTATGTGTCCCCTGATGTGCTATAAGATCTGACTTGTGTGTATAGAACATTGCTTCGCTGTTGAAGGTATTTCTTTGTACACTGTGTTCAAAAATGTGTGGCAATGTCTGGATGCTTTGATGCTGACTGGGATACTCACAATATCTGAGGGATTTCCAAGGGACAATAGAGCCATCGAGTTTCTCTCCAGAGCACAGATCATCATGCTCATTAAGCAGAAAAGTGCTCTGACATGCATTGTATTCCTCAGGCCCCATTCCTGCATAATTCCCATCTTTCATTATCAATGTTGACATATGGCTGGATTTTAAATTAAGTGGTTCCCCTAATTCATCCCTCTCCTTGACTGACGTGCTATTGTTTGTGAATAAAACTTGCCACATAATCATGTCTTGAATTTCACGACTGGTCCCAATCTGGTCATCTATTTGTTGGATAACTGCAATGAGAAAAAAAAAATACATTTATCATCAGCTAAGTATTCCTTTTGGAATACTCATACAAAGGTTAAATAGTTTCTTCCTGTTGCCAGTGCTGTGACACCATGGGTGAAGTTCATCTGCTGCAGAGCTAGCATCCCATATGGGTACAGATTTGAACCCTGGCTGCTCCACGCATGACCCAGATTCCTACAGATGCACTTGGGAAACCAGCAGCAGCCCCAAGACCTGAGGCCCCTGCCACCCACATGAACAGCCCGGAAGAAGCTCCTGGCTGCTGACTTTGGTTTGGCCCGGCCCTGGTCATTCCATCTATTTCGGGAGTAAATCAGGAGAAGGAAGATTTGTCTCTTCTCTCCATTAACTGTCTCAAATGAACTGATAAAGTAAATATTTTTTGGAAGCTTCTTTCTTGAACCAGGAGCACTGGCTCAAGTTCTGGTTGCTCACTTCTGATCCTGTTTAAGCTAATGCACCCAGGAAAGCAGCAGAAAATGGTCCAAGTGCACGGGGCCCTATCACCCAAACAGGTTAGTTCCAGCATTCTAGGTGCAGCTTGACCTAAACCTAGTCATTGCGGTAATTGAGTAAGCCAGTGAACAGAACATTCTTTCCCCTGCACCCCACCATCTGTCTTGCCCTATTTTCCCTGTAATCCTGCCTTTCCGGTAAATAAGTCTATAACAAGTGTCTTCCTATCATAGTGACATAAAATGCTTAAATATCAACAAGAGTTTTCCATTAATGACAATAAATGGTTTTACTTCTAGTAAACTTTATTACATTACATTATATTCATGTAAAATTACATGAGCAGATTTTCCAATGTGAAATCTTGATGTTTTATGTTTTAGTTTTCCTTTTAACTAATGGGAAGCTAGTTAGTTAAAATATTTATCTACTGCCTGCCTGTAGTATGAGGCTGAGAACATTTTATCAGCCATTTTCTCCATTCCCTTTCTCTACATTTTTCTTCATGCTTTTTGCTCTTCTTTCAGCATTAAAAATGTCAAAGGTGTGGATCAGACCTTAATGGGGGCAGGAGGCCCCTCTGTGTCTGTCACTTAAACAGGAACAGGCTTAGGAACAAAATCTGCACCTATGTTCACCCACCTTTCTGGTTCCCCAGGCAATGGCGGTAGGCATTTGTAGCAATTCTCCCAATACCCGATCTTCGCATCCCCACATTTCATTAAAATAGCAATCATTATATCCCCAAAGAAAGTTGACATCTTTTGCTTCTCAGACTCTTATCAGGCACAAGATTTGGCCTGCTACCCTTATCTCTTTAATTTTTAGAATGATTTTGGAATACAGATTTTGAAATAATACTGTTGAATGTAGAGTTGGAGAATACTAACTTTAAGATGCACTCCTCAACCAACCTGAGACCTTTAGCTCTGCTGATCGACTCGGGCCAGACTCTTGGCTCCTGGCCAACACCAGGATCAAGATTCTCTAAGGTTTTGTGCTGCTTCCCACTTGGCATCAAAATTTCTGAAGACGCATCATACAAACTTCATTCCTAGATCTCTCGCCTCATGTTCTCAAGTAGAAAATATAGTTAGGCGTTAAACAGCAAATTCAGGGGCGAGCATTTGCAAAGAGGTTAGTCACCGACTGGGCTACCTGCCTGCCATCTTGGAGTACCTGGTTTGGACTCTGGTTCTTTTGTTGCCAGTGAAGCTTCTCGTTAACACACATACTAGGAAGCATACAATGATAGTTCAAGTGCTTGTGCCACTGCCACCCTTTGTGGGAGACCCGAACTAAGCTCTGGACTCATGGAATTGACCAAGTCCAATTCTTGCTGTTGCTGCAACTCAGGGGCTGGTCTGTTCCCCTGTCATTCAACAGCTGGAGCTGAGACAATCCAAAGCCAGGAGCCAAGGAGATTCTTCTGGGTCTCCCACACAGGTGCAGGGTCCCAGGGCTTTGGGTCATCCTCCACTACTTTCCCAGGCCACAAGCAGGGAGTTAAATGGGAAGTGGGGCAGCTGGGAATACAAACTGGTGCCCATATGGGATCCTGGCACTTGCAAGGGGGAGGATTAGTTAATTGAGCCATTGTGCCAGGCCCTGTTTCTCTGTCTCATTTGCTGTTATTCTTTTAAGTAAAATTTAATAAATAATTTAAAAATAAATATATTAGCTTTGAGCTATAGTTTTGTTAAAATATTAACATAAATGTTATTTATTTATATTATATATTCAACATAAATATATTTTATAAATATATTAGCTTTGATCTATAATTTTGTTAAAAGATTTGTTCATTTACTTAACAAGGTAGAGTTACAGAGGCAGAGAGATACAGAGATCTTCCATCCGCTGGCTCATTCACCAAATGGCTGCAATGACCAGGCTGGGCCAGGCCGGAGCCAGGAACCAGGAGCTTCTTCTGCATCCCCCAGATGGATGGCAGGGGCCTAAGGATTTGGGCCATCTTCTGTTGCTTTTTCCCAGGCCATTAGCAGGGAGCTGAATTAGAAGTGGAGTAGCTTGGGCCCAGCGTGGTGGCGCAAGTGGTTAAGGTCTTCGCCTAGCACGCCCGGGATCCCATATGGGCGCCGGTTCTAATCCCGGCAGCCCCACTTCCCTTCCAGCTCCCTGCCTGTAGCCTGGGAAAGCAGCAGAGGACGGCCCAAAGCTTTGGGAACCTGCACCCGTGTGGGAGACCCAGAAGAGGCTCCTGGCTTCGGATCGGCATAACATCGACCGTTGCGCTCACTTGGGGAGTGAATCATCGGACGGAAGATCTTCCTCTCTGTCTCTCCTCCTCTCTGTATATCCACCTTTCCAATGAGAAAATAATAAAAATAAATCTTTAAAAAAAAAAAAAAAAAGAAGTGGAGTAGCTGGTACTTGAACTGGTGTCCATATGGAATGCTGGTGCCACAGGTGGGTATCTAACCCACTGCGTCACAGCACCAGCCCCTTTGTACTTATTTTTAACAATATTAATGCATACTGTCTATATTGTATTTTATACCCCCCTATGTTACATGGTGAATTCAGAAAATTTTCATATCAAAATAAGGTAATCCAAGGTAAACAATTTGTGGGTCTCTAAAATGCCCTCCTTCCACAATCCTTCCAAAGAGAACACACACCATGTTTTTCCCTATTCTATTGTCCTGGCAAACAATAACTGCTTTTCCTCTTAAGAGAATGCTCTTTAAGTGAAGACACATCTGGTGCATTCCAGGGCTATTCACACAGCTGCTGCTGAAGATCAGTGCCTATCAGCTGTGCTATTAGCAAGCACTGGAAGAATAAATACACGAAGGCCGGCCCCGAAGATAACAGAGCACAAAACAGAGAAAGAGCAGAGAACACACACAGTGCAGCTGACCGAGAAAAACATCTAAGAAGAGACAGAGAGCAGTCCGATCGTTGGTGTATCATAGAAAATATTGATTAGTAAGGACACCCAAAAAAGACGGGCCCTTTCTGGAGCTTGTGGAAGGCCTGCATCTGGTTCCGGAGCCAGCTGTGCACAGGGCTGGCCTCTGAAGGGCTCGACACAGGCAGCCTCCGCTGAGCATCCCTCCACCCAGCCTCCCCGCCCAGGATGCACTCACCTGGCAGGTTCTGGGTTAGGGGGTCTTCCACAATCCATGGCTCTGCTCCCTGTTCCAACTTGAGGATAACCTCTGGTTTGGAAATGCAACATCCTATTAACAGGAAACAACACAGAACTATGCCAAACTGCTTAGTCAGGACCTTTCAGAATGACAAGGAGCGAGCTGCGGAAGCTCAACAATGGGAACCCCTTGCTGAATGCAGAGCATTCTTACATTCCTCGTGGCCTGGAATCGTGCACCTAACTGACACTCCAGTGCCGATTTCTTTGTCAAACAGGAAGTGACCGGCAGTCCCACTCACCCAAGCACATCAGGCTGCTGTACGTCTCCAGCATCACCTCCTTGTAGAGAGTTCTCTGAGCACTGTCCAGCTCCTGCCACTCCTCCCAGGTGAACGACACGGCCACATCCTCAAATGACACAAATACCTGTACGACAACACATTTAAACACTCAGTATACCAGCTCGGAGTCACACAGCAGAGTGGGAATGCATTCTTCTGTGTCTGTCCTCTACTCAGCTCGCTCGGTATCACGTAAGAACGAGAAAATCACACCAAAATATCTTGCTTTGGTATTAATGCTGTGGTTCTAGAAAAGACTACAATCATTTCCCTCGATATCTGGAATTCGCCTTCCTAGAAAGAAAAGAATGAAAACAACGGATTCCCAAAACAACTCACCGTTTCATAGTAAGACATAAACATGAACACTTGCCAACTTTACCCAAAGGCCAGAGCTACTCAGATCTTCTACACAAACATGTTCTCATGATCACGAGGCAAGGGAAACCAGCGACACACAACAGGCGGGTGGAACTGCCATGAGAGCTAACGGCAGCGAAGCCTTTGTGCAGAAGGAACACATCCTGGTACACACTCCTCGTAAGGGAATCACGTGAGCAGGTGTGCATTCCTCTCCAGGCTTTGGACCAATGACATACGAACGGAAATGACGAAAACCAACCAGATCCATGGCGGACAAGGTGTTTGAATCAACAAAACAAAAGAAACATCACTAACAATAATACTATCGTTATAGTAGTAGTCTTATTCAATGGGCAAATATTGGTAATAGTTGACGCAAGGGAACTGGTATGTGTAAGGATACTTAGAAAAGTTCTTAACTTTTGAGGCATTTGAGCTTGCAGTAAAGGTGCCTGTTGGAACGGCCCCATCGCACACTGAGTCCCTGGATTGATTCCAGGTCCTTGCCACAGTGCCCACGAGAAAGCAGAACACCTGGAGTAAGACATGGTCTCCCACCGTTGGTTTGGTCCAATCCTGGATCTTGAAGGGGACTGAATAAATGGTTTGGCTCAGCCTGTCTGCCTCTTTCAGTAACTCTTTTTCACAAATGAATTAGGAAATAAATAAATAAATAAAAATCTAAGAGTTCATGATGAATTAAAAATTGGTTATATAGGTGTAAAACTTTAACTGGATATAAAAATGTGACATATATATATAAAAATGATGAAATACTACTCAGCTATTTAAAAAAATAAAGTTCTAACACTTGCAACAAAGAGATGGAATGGGAAATCATTACTCTAAGTGAACTAAACAAAGACTTCATGATTCTTCCCACATATGGAAATTAATACAGGGAAAGCATAAGAATGTGTGGATATCACATTATCTGGTGTATATATATAATGTCTTCAGAGAATTACATGATCTACATAATATCATACTCCCCTTTCCCCACTTTATGATCACTGACCTCCCATGCTATGTGATATTAATAACCTTTCAAGAAAAATATGCATGAATATAATAGCTACATAAAAATGAATATAATAAATAAGTATTAAACCTTTAAAATATGACTTTTTGAAAAGAAAACAGATGCCTTAGCATGTATATGTTTATTTCTTCAGACACACAATGTAAAATATTACAATGCAATTTGTACTATGTAATGCTTTTAAAATGAAAATCTAAATTAAAAAAAAACTCTTGGAGTGTGAATTATAAGAATCCTTCAAAATATTCAATAAATGTATATGCATTAATAACTTTTAGACAAATATACTTAGTCTACTGAAAACTTCATGAGTGGATTTGATTTTCATGATTAATTTTGTATCTTGCTTGTTCACAAACAAAATTGTATTTAAAAATTTACACCATGTAGGTTATGGGTATACACCTTATAGAATCAAAGAGAATTCCATCATATTTATAGACCAAATTGTGATAAAGCTTTCTGCCAGACAACATAAGTCAGAAATTACGTGATTGGAGGAGTGTTGCTTTATTCTAAGGGAACAGCCTTCTTTGAGTCTGGCTGTTCCACCTCTTAAGTTGATGCGGCAATCTAGAACAATCCACACTGAGGAGCATGGCCAAAACAGTGATCAATCTGAATGCTTAACCTTGGCAACATAAGAATACGGACTCAGAGTTGGCCATTTCTTTCTGCTTCCTCCTTACCAAAATGTGGCAATCTCCAACCGAAAGCACTCTGGCTGGCAAGTCCAATGCCTCGGACAGGCTCTCTGTCCTCACTCATTTGTTTATTTGTTTATTTTGGTGGCTAGAATGACAGTTCAGCCTAAGCTCTTTCCCTAGTTTTTAATTTCATATCGCTAGGTACTAAGCAAATGTGTTCCAACAAATCAATAAACAAAAAAGGCAAATGAAAATGCACGCAGTTTTGCCAGAAGATGCATTTTAGATGAAGATTTTGATGACCCCCCTCATATATGTTTCATGATACTAGTAATTAATAATATTAGTAATTCATATTAGTGTTGCTGTTTAAGTCAAATAATCTTATAGACTTTAGGCTTTAGGGAAAGTGGATAGAAAAGAGACTATGTCACTTACTAAGCACTGCACTCGGCAGAACCAGATGACAATGCTGAAGTCAGGGAAAAGGCCAGTTCACAAACAAGGAAGAAAAGGAACAGGAAGATGTGGTCATGTGGAACCGGAAATTCTCACAGGAGCTTGCTGAATCTGTGTCCCATTCAAAGGGCAAGGAACACTAAAATCGCTGGCTCCATGAAGTTCAAAATCGCCACGCTGCAGTGGGATACTACCTTTGAGAGTGACTCTTCCACTCACTCCTCTTTCTTTTCTTCACATACAAGGTTTGTTCCAATTTTGTGACTCGTGCCCTACCCTTGTACATTTGGTATAGAAGAGTTGGGTGACTTCTCTTTTTAGATTCCAAGACCTAGATGAAAAAAAGCCACACCTGGACGCCATCTGGTTCCTGATCTCATTTGGGGAATCTGGACTTGGAATGCAAAGTGGTAGACAGCTGTGTCTCTAGCTATAGACCATTTTATGGTACACGTGCAAGGGGAGGAATTCCAGTATGTGTGACCTCTGTCGCATGTCAGTGCTGTTTCCTTTGAGAAGGTCATATACACTCATTCTGACCCCGGAACTCGAGCAAGATCACCCAGTTTTACATGACAAGTGAGAGCGAAAGTCACTGCGTCACTTCTGGGATCACAACTGTATCGCTGCTTTCTTTCCCTTCACTACAAGGACCAACAATATTTCAATGAAGAGATTTCCATTGTTCTGAAGTGAGAATAAGATTTGACCCACCTCTTGAACATATAAAACTTCAGAGATTGGTGTCATTAGTTGGAAAAAATAGAAACGACATCACTGCCCCTGACATTCTGAGAATCCCAGAAAAAAAAAATACAAGACAATCAGAAAAGATAATTTTCAAACACAGAATGTTACGAGTCTATAGGCTGGACCCATGAACTTCATCACTAAGGGTGGGGAGACGCCACTGCAACAGAAACTCAACATTCAGAAGTGATACACAGAAAATTCAAGAAATCGGGTGTTTGAATATCCACACTTCTCAGAGAAAGACCCAAAGGATGCTTTATTTAGCAACTAAAATGCCAACAGGGATGCCCATTTTTGTGCCACTGTTCAAATCTCAGCTCTGTTCCCAATCTCAGCTTTTTACTAATGGGCAGCCTAGGGTAGCAATGGTTCAACTGGTTTATAGTCCTGGGTCCTGGGTGAGTCCTGGCTCTGACCTGGCCCAGCCCTGGTCCCTGTGCACATCTGAAGCGTGCACCAGAAAGAGGCAGCTCTCTTGGTCTCTGCCTCTCAAATGAGTAAAACTTCACAATAAAGTCAAGATAAACAGATCAGTCCCCAAACATCGTAATTATCTTGTAAACAATGACTATCTTCATTTAAAAAACTGCAAAGATTCAATATCCCAGTGCAAAATGAACTGAGGATCACAATCCACTCTTTACTCTCCAATAATGCAAAGTCAAACTAAATCAATCAATGAGAAAAACAAACATCAAAATGTTGGCAATTTAAAATTTATATAAGGCTGTTTTTGGAAAAAAAAAAAAAGATTTATTTATTTTTATTGGAAAGGCAGATCAGATTTACAGACAGAAAGAGAAACGAAGATCTTCCATCCGCTGGTTCACTTCCCAAACAGCTGCAACAGCAGGAGCTGAACTGAGCTGATCTGAAACCAGGAAGTAAGAGCTTCTTCCGGGTCTTCCATGCAGATTCAGGGTCCCAAGGCTTTGGGCCATTCTCTGCCCAGGCCACAAGTAGGGTGTGTAGGATGGGAAGCTGAGCAGCCTAGACACAACCAGCACCCATATGGGATCCCAAGGCTTGACAATGAAGATTTAGGCACTGACCCATCACACCAGGCCCTAAGAACGTGTTTTGTGAACCAGCAGATAAACATAATCCTATTTGCTCAATTCTCAAAAATATGTGTCGCATCAGATAGATTTGCCACTTCTACTGCAGTTAACTCTTTCAGAAGCCACTATGAATTAGCACCTATCTGACCGACTGTGCAGCGGATGAGCATCATAAATAGAACTATCCTTCTGGAAATTTCCTATCACCTGGATTGTATAACAACTTGAATGCAAAAATCATAAACTCATTATAGTTCTTTTTGAGACCAGCTTCTCTTTCCTATAAAGAACATAAAAGCAAATAAACAAAAACATCAGGAGTTGGCCCCAGATGACATAGAACCTGAGGAAGAAGGGAGCCTAGGAAAAACTAAATTTCAGTGGTTTTGGTCAAGGTTAGTTTGGTAATAATACTGTATATTAATTCTGAGAAAAGAAAACAGCAGTGAGATAATGAAAAACACTATCAAAGAAGAATTTCCAAGTGACGAACAGGGGCAGTAATTACAAACGCAGCAGAGGACTCTGGGAAGAGAAAGATCTGAAAATAGTCTTAAGAATTGACTGCAACTTAAGTGACTGGTAAACTTCTGAAGAACTGAATTAAATTAAAACTACATGCAGTGGGTTGCAGTGCACACGAGCAATGGAAATATCTGCCCAAAAATGGTCATTGTGGGCAATCCGTAGTGAAATCTACAATCAGACTAGCTGAGGGACATACATGGAGAGCTAGTCCAAGAGTCTCTCCTTGTCTGGCTCTGTCCATGAACAAGTCACAACCTTCCACACGCTGCCTGGGACCACACACTGACAGCAAGTCTATGCTCCCTGCAGGCATTTGGGGGAAAACACACAGAAGCACAAAAACAAAAGCAGACAGGATCTGACACTCAGATCAGAGAAACCTGAATGAATAATATGTTTTTTAAGGATTAAATTCCTCCTCCTCCAGCAGAGTTGCTAAGTGTCCATTTCGAGGTTGGTAATAAGACACCGTCCACTACACCGACGTAACCAATAAAAGTTTCAGACTAAATAGCCCAAGCGAATTTAGCATGTTCTCAGGGGCCAATTTAAATCAGGTAACAAAATCCGTCTTTTTTTTGGCTATGGTATCAGAAAGTTCAATTAGCACTCAACCTAGAAGGTTCTAAGGGCTTAGAGCCAAGCAAACTCTATGTTGTTTAAGTCCGTTTCTCTGACAGCAAATATTATTTACTTTTGTTTCCCATTTTAATCAAGGAATCCTTATAATGTTGCTAAAACGTAGCATAAAAATGAACCGAGAGATAAGCAACTTACTGGAGATGGATTCATTGTTTTCTCTGCACTTGGAAACAGGTGTGAAGACTCTAGAGTTCTACCTGCAAGAGGAAAGAAGTGAGGACTCTGTTAGAGAGAAAACCGTTTGTTTTGACGCCATGTTCTATTGGGCAAATCAGGACTGCCATTAAAGGGGACAACAGATTCATTCACTGCATACAAGAATACAAAAAAATTCTGTAGGAAAACAGACTCACATAACTAAAGGGGATCATTGAAAGAGAATCCACACTTTGATTAATTGATGTACACAAGTTATCATTAGGTCAATCAAAAAACATATTCGCTGATTTTATAAAAACAAATATTAATGCCAAGAAATAATGAAAAACTTTTACAGATGGTTGTGCAAATAAATTATAGTATGCCACCGGAAGGAATGTCAGATTACCATTAAAATTTGCAACATTGAAACAAAGATAGGAGCTTGCTTGAGCAGCACAGATACTAAAACTGGAATGATACCAAGATCAGCGTGTGCAGAGTATGAGCCATTTTCCTGTTTAGACAGAGGTACCCTCAAAGGCCCATTTCTAATACTTCCATTAGGATACTCCTTCCTTCCAATTTCAGAAAAAAAAAAAATCCATACTGTAATATGATTTTTTTCCCTCTAAAGATTACCCAGGGAAAATAGTCGTGAGACAGTCTACTTTCCCAGTAATTATTCCAAAAGACACATCTTCCTTTATATACGCCCTCACTGGGGACTACCACACAATGATTTTTGAGTTTTGCCATTCACTAAATTTAGCCATGGGCATTCGCGCACAAAAAACACAGTTTTTCAAAATACTTGCTTATTTGAGCTCCATGTTTTGGGAGTGGCTGGGGGGGAGGAGGGAAGGATACTGTTATCCTATGAAGTAGCATGGGACTTGCCTGTGGGACACAGAGGCCTTACCCCAAACCTAGCTACCATAAACCACTTGGCATGTGGGTCACACCACCTTCAAAGACCCAGCCCCCATCTGGGCACCGGTTCACTGAGTGATCTTGGGATCTGTCCGCAGAGCTTGTTCTAGAATGCTGACGCCCAATGACAAAGTGTTACTATCAAAATTGGTGGGTTTTGCACATAAACTGCCGATGCATACTGGCGAAAAGGGGAGAAAAGATTGAATCATGTGCCCAATGCCATCAACGGAATTTCACAATCACACCTCCAAGTGTTCACAGACACGATGAATGTCACGCAGAGGGACGCTGGCGAGGCGTGGGCATTAACAAAGGCCTTGTGCATCACACGCAGAAACTGTCGGAAGAGGCCTGAGCCGACGGCGTTTTAAACATTCTTACACGTGATCTCTGTGTTGTGTTTTACTTATATGTTAAAAAGGTAATTTGCGATCGAGGTGTGATTATTGTGCCATTTGAAAACAAAACAGATAAACAAACAAAAAAACAAGAAATTTAGCTCACTAATTTGCTGTTGCCAAGAACAGAAAACCACAGAAGTGGGAATGATTTTCTTCCTGACGTAAGAAAAATCTGTATTATTAACATTTCAGGCTCACACAATCCCCAGTTCAGTGCTGGGAGACAAGCCATAGGCACATTCAAGGAAAACTTCTTAAATACCACCTGCTCTAAACACACTACAGTCCCTGAACCTGATCTCAAAAGCAAACACGCCTTTTTAACCAACCAGAAACGGTGTGTTTGACATTTATAAAAAATGTAATGCTGGGCCATCTTTCATCTTTCTTAGATGGAAATATCCTGACAAATCTTCCCCGAGATACTAAAAAAAAAAAAAACCCCTCAGACATAAACACATCTCTAGAAACTCTCTAGAAACTAAAATGTGTTGACAGACTAGGGAGACAGGTCCTGATTCTAGAAATACTGCGAGCAGCACGGATGTACCCTGAGGGAGGAGCCTGGGGCAGCGGGTAGACAGATTTTTCAGACTTTACAATTATTCCTTGTCGCAGGTCACACCTTCAAACCCCCTCGAGGAATCTCCCAGGCTCTTCCCTACCTTTTCCAAACTACTATCAACTCTGCTCCGAGAACTTGCAAGATCACCACTTGAGAGATTATAGGGTGTTACAACACAACACCCATCAAGCCTTGTCCACTCTGGGCCCTGCAGAGCCAGGAGCTTCACTTTTTTCTAGGACATTGCGCCTATGTTTGAAGTACTGGGGAAACGGTTCCAGACAGGGGGCTATTCTTGCAGGTGGAATTTCCATCCAAGATGCCTCCTCCTTTGAACAGCCCGAGAACTACTTTCTCGCAAAGCTGATGGAATCACCAGCCACGTCCCCCGCGTCGGCGGCACGGAACTCACAAGAGAGAAACCAGAACTTTCCCATGAAAGCCCACGGATGCAACACAACACCGGGAGACTCGGTGTGCACGGTATTCCGCAGCGATTTCTCTGGAAATTTCCAGGCATCCACTGCGGTGGCTAAGACGGTCACCTTACAGACGGATAAAGCCATGTGCAACGCGGCTGTGGCAGGCTCCCTCCCAGCCAGAACAAGGGCACACTCCACACACTGCGCGCTCACACCATCTGTTCACCCACCCCTCACCATCTGTTCAGCCACCCTCTCTCCTGGCTGAACCGTTCCTTTAGAGCAAAGCTTCTCGAAGCGGCTTCTATGTACGCTGGAGGGACACTCCCTGTTTCCTGGCAGTGCTCTCACTTCGGAGCGTTCCCTTCTCCAGCTCCAAACGGCACAATTCTGACCCTGGGGACAGATTCTGGGATCCAGCCCAGATCCGCCACTCCCGTACCTCAATGCCAGATCCTGCCCCCCTCGGAGACCCACTGGCTTTTCAGCGTCCAAGGACGGCGGCCATCCCGCCTCCCAGGAGCCCCCCTCGCCCCACAAAAGGCTTGCAGGGATCCTCTTTTGTCCTCACCAACCTTCCGGGACGGTCTCCAACCGCAGAGTCCGCACAACACCGTGGACAGAGCCGAGCATCTGGAATTTCCTGGAGGAAGATGGCGGGAGTGGGCGGGGAGGCACATGCGCAGAAGGAATCTGGAAGAGTTTTCCCTGGGCCCTGCCCTGGTGAAGTCATGGGAGGGTGGGACTACATTTCCCACAATTCCCTGCGCCTCTTTGTTAGGATACGGAGACCACGATGGCTCTAGTCTGTGGGGTGTCAGCGCCGCAAATCCTCCGTTGCGCACGGCTTTGACGACTGCTTGTTGCGCTCTCTTCGTTAATAATGCTTGCTCGGGTGCCGGTTTCCCATCTCCGAGCGCCAGTAGTTCAGATCGACTGCTCTGCTTCTGATCTGGTTTCCAGGATAATGTGCCTGGGAGGAGGCAGTGCAGCGAAAACAAGTGTCGCAGACTTGGCCGGCTCCAGAATTCAGCTTGGCTCGCCCCCGACTCTCGTGGCCATTTGGGGAGTGAAGTGGCTCTCTCCCGGCCATTTGGGGAGCGGAGTATCTTTCTCTACCACTCTTTCAAGTAAGAGCTAGTTGTTGAAAAAAAAAGTATCACTTGGACAGATTCAGGTTTGAAATAATCACACTATGGACGGAGCATATTTCATAATTGCTTTTTGTAGTTACAAGGTTCTAGTTCTAATTGCATTGCAGTTAGAGAACCCACATCCACTTGCTACAGATGCTTACTAAAGCATGGGGAAAATACACTGCCTGTTGGACTTTGAAATTGCTAAACTTAATATTGCCATGGTGACTTCTAAATTTTTAAAAGATGCTCTATCTCATCTGTTAAAATCATGTGTGACCCATCCGTGGACTGTATTCTATAACAGGAAAATTCTATTTTAGTGCATATACTGAATTGATTAGCTGGGTGAATGAATTCTGAAGTCATTATACGAATTTAAAAATGCTTCTGTCTGATCATGACTTATGTATACACTCCTGAAAATTCTCCTGTCTTAGAGCTGGAGCATATGTGTAGATCAACCCTTTATTGGTTTCTGCCATAAAACGAGGCAAAGAAATCAACACGAGTTTTTCCCAGATCTCCTTTTCCAAGGAGCAAGGACCCGGCTCTTGTGAGCAGCATTGGTGTGGTCTCCAGCAAGGATGGAGCTGAGACCCTGGCTGATGGGTTGTGGATTATGCCTAAGATGTATTTTGTCCTGTCCAAATTCTGGTATCATGTAATATCCCGTAGTGACCTTATTCTGCAAACCGGAGGCCTCAGTCAGTCTCGAACTTCCCATCACAGGTTTTGCCATCTGAGACTGGAGAAGCCATGAGGTGCTGATTAAATCAGATCTCTGATAGGTTCCCTGGAGTAGTGACTCCTCGTGCTCTCCTGAGGAACACGGGTTCCTGCCTTGTGGTCATGTACTTCTAGAAGTGCGAGCTATGCCGGGACTGAAGGTACGGCTTACAGGGGGATCCCCGCGAATAGAGAAAGTGGAAAAAACATTTTTTTTTCTTTTTGCAGTAGGTAATCTTATTTACATGGTGGCAGAATCATTTTACAGTCTTAAAGCAGACATTAACAAATGTCTTATTTTTGTAAGTTATAAAGGATAACAAGACAAAAGCTTCGGAGAAGCATTCTAAATTAAAGTGCCCTCTGACAGCTCAAGGATATGGAGCCATGTTAACCGCAGCAAGCTCCCAGCAGAGGCTCAGGGAAGGGCTGCTGTGCCCCAAACGAATGGCCAGTTGCTTCGACTGCTTTTCTTTGCGAGCAGACTCACAGGCAAAGACAATGACTCCTCTCACTGAATAATTTAAACACTCCTTGGAACTCAGACAGCACTGTTGAGCCTGGAGAACTGAGGCCTCACTGTGGTTGATGTCTGCCTGATAGGGCCACAGTGGGGCTGTGGCTCAGCAGGACAGGAGCCACCAGGGCTAAACAGGGACCAGAACTCAGCCGGGGAGGCTGTGCAGCTGGCCGCTGGGGGGACGGGAGGAGGTGCACCCGAGGGGCTTGCTCCCCCTAGCAAGGGTCTTTACCCACTTGGAGAAGAGTGGAGCCTCTGGTGTTCATCTGTGTTGCCCCAGGCCCCAAGCACCTGCTTCCCAGCAACTCAATGCTGTTGGAAACGTCAGTAACGCTGACCTAGAAAAACCTACCAGGAGTGGAAGGTGCTGGTACGCCGTTTTCCAGTGCTGTGTGGACAATGTCCTTCCCTGCTCCATGTGTATTTCATCCTGTCTACCTCAGGATCTGCCTCTGCTGCCAGATCCTGCGATTCCTTGTCATTCTGTTCTTTACATGACTGTAGGGACATCCATCGCTGCGGCAGTCAACCCAGGGGATGCATTTTCCAGCCAGCCACTTGTCAAGGATTGTCAGTGTGTTGTCTCCTACACACTCCGAGGTCTGGCTAGCCCCCTGCGAGGAGCCTGAACTGTAGAAATTAAGAGGTGTTTGCGCTGCCCCTCCCAAACCCCCTCAACAGGATGGGAATTTCTGTTTCTCATAAGCATCCTCCCGGGTTGCCCATACTTGACTCCTGTAGGCGTGGCCACTGCACCTGCTTCTGCTGGGCCTAACTCCAGCGCAATGGAGCACATCACAAAGGGAGCCGTGTGGACGCTGGCGCTGCTGCAGAAGAGGCAGCAACGCTTGTTGGTGTCAGCCCTGCTCCCTTTACCCATCTCTGATATTCACAGCGAACTCCCAGTTGTGTTGTGAAGAGCGAGAGAAGCCATGCTGGACACAAGGGATGGCAATGTCAGGTACAGAGAGGAGAGACAGAGAGGCAGATCCTCCATCCGACGATTCACTCCCTAAGCAGCTGCAATGGCTGGAGCTGAGCTGATTCAAAGCCAGGAGCCAGGATTTCTTCTGGGTCTTCCACGTGGGTGCAGGGTCCCAAGGTTTTGGGTCATCCTCAACTGCCTTCCTAGGCCACAAGCAGGGAGCTGGATGGGAAGTGGGGCAGCTGGAATTAGAACCGGCACCTGTATGGGATCCCGGCGTGTTCAAGGCAAGGACTTTAGCCACTAGGCTATCGCACCAGGCCTCTGTATAGATTTTTTAACATTAAGTGAGAGAATGCGAAGTATCATACATAGTGTATAAGGGAAGTGTGATTGTCTTCCTGGAACTGTGTCTATGGAATTCATATAATACATTCTCTTTATATTAATAAAAATTAAAAAAAAATCCCTTGAAACGGGGCTCTCTCTATAGTGTTGTTCTAACAGTTTTGTGACAGTTATTGCCAGGCAATCACGCATCGGCACCTTTCCTTTATAACCTCTTCTCATTAGCTCATTTAGCCAAGCTGAAACTAGGAGCTAGCAGTCATGAGCTTCCTCCAAGTCCGCCATGGGGGTGGCAGGAATTCAAGGACTTGGGCCATCTGCTGCTGCTTTCCCAGCTACGTTGGCAGGGAGCTGGATTGGCGACAGAGCAGCCAGGGCTCAAACTGGTGCCCAAATTATAAAAAAAAAATTATAACGCATTAACTAAAATAAAACTGTAGTATAATTACTTTCAAAATTGTATATGTTTTTAAATTTTAGTTAAATAAGATTAGTTACTGAGTTTTTATTAAATTCCAAGATTTTTATGAAATTTTGAAAATCCTTGAGAGCTATCGAACAATGAACACTGCAGAAGATGGTATTGATTTTAAAAAAATAAAAATCTTCTCACCAATTCTTTGAGCTGGGCAGTGTGGTATCCCCTTATAGGTAAGTAGAGAAAGATATACAAAGAATCTTGCCCCTAAGTTTCATCACTAACAAGTGACCCGATTGGAATTTAAGCCATGATTTCTGAATCTGGAGACAGCCATGATCTACTAACCTGTTATTCTGAGCCCACGTGGCACCTCCCACTGCATCTGGCTGATGAATCTGATATTTGCTGAGATAGTACACGTTTATAAGAAAGACCAGCCTCAATCCTGCAGTGTGTGCAGGGAGTTGGTTTTGCTTTCATCCTCACCCTTGATTGCTTATCACTGTCAGAAAGATAACAGCTCTCTTAGGAACCAAAGTTAGATACAAAGTTAGTCACTGTGTGCTCAAGAACCCCTGCAGGATACTGTATCTTATTAGCACTGAAATAGCAGATGACCTCAGCTAGGAGGTTAGAGACCTGGCCACTTGAGCACAACAAGTGTAAATAATTTGTGATGCAAATTCCCAACCTAAACTATCTATCTTTTAGTCATTTGGATGTGTAACAGGTTCAAGATGTTCCCATTCTGCTTCTTGAGTTTGTAAGAACTGCTTTTTTGTCTCTAAGAACTTAAAATCAGCCTCGCTGTTGCACTTTTAGAAATTGTCTTCTAGGCTTCTCTCTTTCTTCTTTGGAAAGCAGAATCAGAGAGAGAGACAGACAGAAAAAAAAATTTTAAGTGAACTTCTATAAAATTTCAAGAGTTAAAAAAAGATAATATAAAAAATCAATGAAAATTTTATCAATATTTTCAAAATTAAGGACTTACAGACTGTGACAGTTCAAAAATATTTGTGGAAAATTTTCTATTAAAAACATGAAATGTAAGAATTTTATTACATGTCTATTTTCATGTTATAATACATTTTAAGTAAATTTTTATAAAATTTGCCTAATTTTTGATATTTCAAAAAATAGCTTGAATTTTATGTTAATGAAAAATGTATTAAGGTTTGAAATGCTTAAGTGCTTTATAGAATTTGGAATTCATGGGCCCGGCGCGGTGGCGCAAGTGGTTAAAGGTCCTCGCCTTGCACGCCCGGGATCCCATATGGGCGCCAGTGCTAATCCCGGCAGCCCTGCTTCCCATCCAGCTCCCTGCCTGTGGCCTGGGAAAGCAGTCGAGGACGGCCCAAAGCTTTGGGACCCTGCACCCGCGTGGGAGACCCGAAAGAGGCTCCTGGCTTCGGATTGGCATAGTATCGGTCCGTTGCACTCACTTGGGGAGTGAATCATCGGACGGAAGATCTTCCTCTCTGTCTCTCCTCTCTGTATATCTGCCTTTCCAATAAAAAAATAATAAAAATAAATCTTCAAAAAAAAAAAAAAGAATTTGGAATTCATTAAAATGATGTAAAATTTTATCATATGAAAATTTTATGAAATAAAAAATCTCTTGGGAAATGGTACTGTGGTTCTTTTATTAAGGTAGTCTAAAATTTTTATTTAAATTTTGCATTCATTTCAAAATTTTCAAATAATTTTGAAACTTTATAAGTTGAAAAAATTTCAACTATAAATTTGATTTATAAAAATCTTATAAATTTAAATAAAATTGTATTTGATTAATGTTAAGAAACCAAAAAATATTGAAGAATTTTTTACATTTCTCAAGATGTTACAAAGATTCTAATTAAAATTTTATACAATTTTCAAAATTTCAAAATAATGTTATAATGTTTTAAATTTTGTTAAAGTTTTGTTTTAAAAATTTATTTACTTTATTGGAAAGGCAAATGAGATTTATGGAGAAAAGGAGAGACAGAAAGATCTTCCATCCACTGGTTCACTCCCCAAATGGCTGCGATGCCCAGAGCTGAGCTGATCTGAAACCAGGAGCCAGGAGCTTCTTCCAGGTTTCCAGGTGGGTGCAGGGTCCCAAGGCTTTGGGCCATCCTTGACTGCTTCCTCAGGCTGCGAGCAGGGAGCTGGATGGGAAGTGGAGCAGCCAGGACACAATCTCAGTGCCTACATGAGATCCTGGCACTTGCAAGGTGAGGATTTAGTCACTGAGCCACCACCCTAGACCCTAAATTTTGTTAATGTTAAAAACTTGAATTATTTTAAAAGTTTGAAATTAAAAAATTTTTTTTTAGCAATTTCATTAATAGTCTTTTGTAATAAAAAAATATGGGATAATTTTACTACATTCTGATTTTATTAAGATGTTATAAACTTTTTAGGTCCCTGTGTGTTAGTCTGTGACATTCTTGTTTTCTCATGTACAAATTCCATTTCCTATGGATATATTCCCAGGAGTGGGATAGCTGGGTCATACAGCAGATCAATTTTCAATTCTGTTAACGCTCCCCATGTTGACCCGTCGTGGTTGTACTAGTCTATACCCCCACCAAGAGTGAAGGAGGGTACTTTCCTCCCCACATCAGGCCAGCAGGTGTTGTTGGTAGAGTCCCAAGTGCAGGTCCAGCACATGGAAGATCTTTGTCTCTGCCTCTCCTTCGCTCCGTAAATTTACCTCAAATAAAAATAAAATACATCTTAAAAAAAAAACCCATGGGGCCTGGCGCGATGGCACAGTGGTTAAGGTCCTCCTCGCCTTGCTTGCCCGGGATCCCATATGGGCGCCAGTGCTAATCCCAGCTGCCCCACTTCCCATCCAGCTCCCTGCTTGTGGCCTGGGAAAGCAGTCGAGGACGGCTCAAAGCCTTGGGACCCTGCACCTGTGCGGGAGACCTGGAAGAGGTTCCGGGTTCCTGGCTTCAGATCGGCTCAGGCTGTTGCGGTCACTTGGTGAGTGAATCGTCGGACGGAAGATCTTCCTCTCAGTCTCTCCTCTCTGTATATCTGACTTTGCAATAAAAATAAAGTCAATCTCAAAAAAAAAAAAAGGTCAAACCTAATGGTATACTTCTGATTAAGCTTATATTGGGGAAAGACACACTGAAAATTACAAAATAATTACTGAATAATATTAAAGAAAACTTAAATACTTACAATGTAATAATTATTTTAAGACGAGTACTATAGAGGAAAGTAACTAAAGATTCAATGTGATTCTCCTCACAATCTCAGAGGACACATATTTGGAAAATTATCCAAAATTCATATAAAATTTCAAGGAACAAAACTTGAGTGGCCAAAGTAATTCTTGAAAAACGAAGCATAAATGAGGAGATTTGCACTTCCCCGATGTTAATGGAATTCAGACGCTATGAGCAGAAGGATTCGTGGAACTGAGTTCGGAGTACAGAAATTACCAGCATCCCTCCACAGTGACCAGGTGACTAGCACGCATGGGCAACGGAATGGTATCATCAGAGTGGACGGTTGACCCGCTGGCCAAGAGTGTCTGTCCCACATCGGATGCCTGGCTTTGGCACTCCTAGCTCCAGCTTCCTGCTTTGCAGACACTGGGAGCTGGAGATAAAGCAAAGTGAGCCGGGATTCCTAGTTCCCATGTGAGAGACCAGGCTCCCGCCTTCACTGCTCCCCCGGCCCCAGCAGGCATTGGGGAGGGGACCTAATTTCGGGACTGAAGCAGCAGATAGAAGCTAAGTGTCCCCCCTCTTTCTCCTATGAATATATAACTAGGAAGGATGTATTCGACAAACGGTGTAGGTCACCTCCTGTGCACAAGCGTTGACCTCACGTGCTTTACTGTAAACTGATCAGAAGCACAGGCCGGTACTGCGGGGAAGCAGTAGATGGCGCCAGAAAACCGTGCCCTGCTCTCGGCAAAGCCAGAGAAAAAATAAAAACAGACCATGCTTCTGCAAGTGTAAGCACCCACTCTTCAGGAGTCTAGTCCTGCAAGGGGGGGTGCCCGGGCCTCTTGGTGCTTTTCCAAGCGAGTGACCCTCAGATCCTGCGGCTCTCACTTCCTCCAGCTGCTCCCCAGGGTCCACATAGCTTGGGGCAGCCCTCTCTCCTCCTGCTCCTCTTCCTCCAGCTGCTCCTCAGGGTGGACATAGCTTAGGGCCTCCACAGCAGAAAAGGTGAGAGCGCAGTGGCCGTGGAAGGCGTTTGTAAGCCCGGGCGGGTTGTTTAGGAAGGGCCTTTAGAACACGGTAACCAGTGCCATGGCAAACGACTTCAGCTGAAGATTCTGGCCACACCGCCTAAGTGTTCTGCCAGGAACCCGGTCTTGCCCACGTTGGCCAATGTAACAGCCACATTCAGTGAGGGAATGGGGGTGCTATTCAGTATCAGGGTACCAGCTGGAGGACGAACCTCTCCCTGCCGGCTGGTGTGAGTGGCCACGCTTTGTGGAAGTCACCCACTGTAACATTTCTTTTTCTCTCTTCAGGCCCCTCATCAGTCACACTTTACAATTGATGGTGTTTCCATTCAACAGGCAAAAGACAGACATCTTTGGTTAATAGCCTCAGGCCCGACGGCTCCCTGGAAGCTGGACTTTGACTGATAGCGCTCATCTCCCAGCACCCTTCTGTAACTGATCGAGTGCTTTCTGGAAGCTGTGCACAGATTGAGGAAGAGTGGTATTGCTATGGAAATGCCCCGTGCCCCACACCCGCCTGTGCCGACTCAGGCTGCCAGGGAACTACAGGTGAATCGTAACTCCTGCTGGAATTGACCACCTCACTGCTGGGGAACAGAGAAAACAAAGGTGAAAAGTCTCAGTGCCTTGTCTCTAATCTCTCTCTCTCGGAGTTCCTTAAACACTTAACGCAAATTGCACCCCAAGCTGAACAAAACCTAGAGTCACTTGTTCATATACCAGATTCAACCTTGGACTTGAAACACCTCAGAAATCCCACAAAACGAGGGAAAGAGTGCTACAAAGGCTCAGCACTCAGGGAAGCAAAACCGAGTCGTTGGCTGTCAACTTCTTAGTCCTCCCTCAGGTTCTCCGCGGAAAAGCCATCCTGGACAAGAAGTGGAGCTGTCACGAGCTTCGAGTCTTCACGGCTTCCCCCGTTAGGACTACAACAGCACACTCACAGATACGCCTTTTCCCCATTAAACCATCCTTACAAAACCTTCCTTGAAAACCGTTGAACTTATCTGGACACTAAGACGCTGGACTTTATTCTTGGTAGATGCTTGCAATGAAAGTTCAACTGAATTTGAACTGTGGTCATGCAACAAGGTGGAGGATGCAACCATGGGAGGGCGGGGGTGGGGAGGGAATCCCAGTGCCTATAAAACTGTGTCACATAATGCAATGTAATCAATTAAAGAAAAAAAAAAACTTTCCTTGAACGAGCCGAACGCAGAGCTGTGTGGTCTTGCCGGATCAGCCTCCTTGTTAGCGTGGACACTGTCTCAGGTAGTCTGTAATGGATGAGTGAGTGAATAAATAAATAAATAACAGAATGACTTGATAAGGAAAAACAGGACAAACTGTATCTACAGCTCTACAGATTGGTTTAGCAAATTCTCTCCACAAAATCTACTGGCATGGACGGGCTGTCTTTATTTCATCAGTTTTTTTTAAAGATTAATTTTTATTGGAAAGTCAGATATTTATTTTACTTTTATTGGGAAGGATATACAGAGAGGAGAGGCAACAGAAAGGAAGATCTTCCGTCCGATGATTCATTCCCCAAGTGACCGCAATGGCCGGTGCTGTGCCGATCCGAAGCCAGGAGCCAGGAACTTCCTCCAGGTCTCCCACATGGGTGCAGGGTCCCAAGGTTTTGGGCCGTCCTCGACTGCTTCCCCAGGCCACAAGTAGGGAGCTGGTTGGGGAGTGGTGCTGCTGGGATCCCGGTGTGTTCAAGATGAGGACGTTAGCAGCTAGGCTACCGCACTGAGGTCCTATTTCATTAGTTTTATGGTTTCTGCATACAAATCCTTTATGTGTTTTGTTTCGAGGAACTAAAGTAAGTGGAATTCACATTTAGCTTTTCAATCAACATGCTAGCATGTAGAAATTTACTTGAACTCCAATCACACCACAATACTATTTTAATGTAATTAATTTTAAGCTATAAATATATATTTATACAAAAAAAGGTATCCTGTGCAAAAAAAAATATTTTTTTAATTCAAAATAAACAAAGCCCCAAAGTCTAACAGGATGGTATTACATGGCTGTAACACCTGCTCTGAGTCAAGGACAGTACACGGTGCTCACTCAGAGCCAGAATGCAGGCCTGGCTTTGGAAGCGGGGACCAGAGGTCTGTCACAGCCTCCAGGCGTCCCTGTACCCGAGGGCCTGAGAGAGCAGGGCTCCTCCCTGTACCTGGGGGCCTGAGAGAGCAGGGCTCCTCCCTGTACCTGGGGGCCTGAGAGAGCAGTGCTCCTGCAGCCAGAGCAGCCCACGTACACTGGAAGGTGAGGTGTACCTAATCATCTGAGCCTCGGCATGGTGCTGAGGGAGGAGGCCAATGAAGTTACTCTTGGCTAACATAATGTCCATGTTATCAAGGGGGAATGAGCAGCTGACACAGCGCAAGGAAAGAGGTTCCATCCGGGACCCAGTGCTCCTCTGCGATCATTCCACAGCCGAGGGCAGGGCTGCTACAGACGGAGGCCCTGCAGGAAGGGCTACTTGAGTCACACGACAGAGAATCCATGTTCAGATTCTGGCCCAAGGATATGTATCACAGGTAGACATACGAGTTAAAAAACAGCTCAGTGGCCACATAATCAATCAAGCTGCAGGGAAGAGAACGGCAGCTATGCAAAGTTCTCTCCTTGCTGGTTTGTGTGCATCTGTATAAAGCAAGAGAAACCAAAAGATATTGTGTGTCTGAAAAATACTGGTTTTAAAAAATCCCACGAAGACATAAAAGTATCCATGGCAAATTTATTATGCATTAGGAAGCATAACCTAAAAACCCAACAGTAAAAAGATATGTTATCTCTGTCCATGGTAGAACAGAACTTCAAAATATATATATTTTAAATGTATTCAGTCAGTAAACAATCTTATAAAAGTTGTATATATTTTTGTCAATACCTTCATTACATTTATAAATACAAGATAAACATAGCACCCCATCAAAAAAATTAAAATCCCTTACAAATATCTACATATATCTCATACTATAAAACTTCCAGAGGAGTGCTGTTAATGGTACGCCCTAGTTTATGGTCCATTTACTTTTGCAGCAAAATACATATAAATCTGTAAAGTGTTCTTTATCCATAAAACACCTTGAAAAGTTAGCAAGACACTTGTTGTGAAACTGAGCTTCACCCAACCCTCACACTGCAGAAAGGAATTCGATGTGCAGATTCCTATGAGATTCAAAACTCAGGAAACAGACTGAGAGAAAAGATTAACTGGGAAGAAACGCACACTGCCGAGCAGTTAAGGCAGGAGTGTGAAGCGTGAGAAAACCGCTGGGAAAGCAGGCCGTGGGAGGATGGTGAGAAACGATTAGGAGTCTGAGCTGGGATGTAAACTCCACTGGTGTCCCGCCACTAACTCATCTACTCTTAGGAAGGTTCCCATTGCTCAAAGCGGTTCTTCCAAGCGCCCGCCACAATGTCTCTGTCGCCGCTAGGACACGTGATGCCTGTGTCTTCTCTAATAACACTTCACATCTGACCAGGACACTGCACCCAGAAATCGGAGTTCTACCTGATTCAAATGTAGGAGAAAAATGCCTCCAACTAGAAAAGATAATCATTAATCAACATTGCCAATCTTCATTTCAGCCAAGCATAGAAAGTAGAGGAAATACAAGAACAAAAGCTAAGTTTTTGTCTGACCTTTGGAAAAAGGCAGCGGGTCCCTGATATGGAGTGACTCTGCAGTGGCCACTCACCACGCCTCTGGGCATGTGAAAACAGCTCAAAGCAGGAGGGAAAATAAAGATCTTCACCTGAAATCTTGCCAGAGGCAGCAGTCCACAGCGGTCCTGCAGTCTGCCCTGACCTCCAGGGTTACTCAAGAAAAGCTATCCTTTCATCAGAGTTATGACCTTTATTATCTGAGCTTCAAAGTTTGGAATCCAGATAACCTTGAGGGTTGCACATCATTTGCAATTATTTCAAACCTTACCTTGTTCTAATAATGCACAACAGAAGAGAGAATCCAAGCAAAGGAATAGGAGGAGGAAACTGAAGGATGGAGTCCCTCATCAGACTTTGGCCTGAAGGATGCTGCTCAACTCCCCCGCCCGCACCACGCAGGCTCCAAGCGCAGCTCTCTCCGCCGCTGTCCCAGGTGGGGCTGTCCCAGGTGGGTCGTGCTCAGCAGGATCCCCCTTCCTGCCGAGGTCACAATTCGGTACACTGACTGCCAGGCTCCTCAGAAGAGGAGAGCTCCCAGATGCTGCTGTCCTGCAACAGTGGCTCAACGTCCTCCCCCGTGCCTCTTTCAGGGGAGCTGGCCAGGCTGCCACTGCCACTGCTGTGCTTCTGAGCTCCACCAGCTTTGCTGTACTCAGGGATGAATAAGGCAACCAGAAAAGATGTAAGAACTATACACGCTCCAAATAAAAACGGTGGGCCTGGGATGACAGCGCCCTGATGAGTGAGGAAAACAAGAAAAGAAGAATTTGGTTAGCTTTTTTTTAATCCAAAATTAATCTTTGGTTATCCTCATTACCCCCAAAAACTATACTATGAAAACGTGAATCGTTTCCATGGAAGCAAATGTGAAGGCAAACTCGAACAGAGCCTGGTGCTTAGAAGTGGCAGGGGGCAAATAATCACGGCCTTTTGTGTCATTTCTAAAGGCTCACAGCCCACGCGCTCATCAATGACAAATGTCGTCTGTAAAGCCATCACGGGCCTCAGATCACACACTTCTGTGGCTGTGCAGGGTCCTGGATGACGAGGGCAGACATCTGAATCGGGAGCACTGCAGCTCAGTGTTCTAACCGGCCATTTCTTACGAACTTTGAGAACAGATCCTGAACGAAGTCAAATCTTTACGTGATATGTTGTGTCACTGAAACTATTCCTCCCTCGCTCCCAAGAGTCTATGGGTCTAGAACTTATTTCTGTCAAATATAATATACAAGTAGAAATGCTCCCCAAATTTAAGGTTATCACCAATGTCATAAAACTAGACACCACCATATTACCTGCAGGGTGGTACTGTCGGAATTCAATTCCGCGCCCAGATCGGTGAGCTCCACATGGAACATGTAGAATATTAAGCCGTAAAGTGCTGGCCCGAGGCCATTGCATAAGCCTCTTATTCCAGTTATGATCCCCTGAGCAACTCCTAATTCAGAACAGAGAAAAGGGTGTCAGTACTCTCGGGGAGTCAGCATCTTCTCTGACAGCCAATGACAGCGCTCGCATTCAGCCAGACCCAGCAGAAAGCTCAGGGAGGGAAGTGCTCAAAGTTTTGGTGTGTTTACTGGGACCATTAAATGTCATCACCACTTGTGCTGCAAGCCCTTGGAATACAAAATGACAGCGACACCTCCAGAATTCTCTGAATGACCAACAGCTACTGTGCCAGTATGTGGGACAAGAGGAAAAAAAAACCCTCAGTATTTCCCATTTCAGGCTATTTCTGCATATTCAGATTTCTTTGTTCTGCTCACTTAGTGGTGTTTTTACACTACAACCTGCCCTTGGTCTCCAGCAGTCCCATGCACACTCCATCCTCCAGCTGTGGCCTATTCTAGCCATCTCCTTCACATCTGCATTGAAAACAAATCCCACGGTACCGGTTCCAGGCATCTTCGCCTTTTAACATGGTACATAAAAAGATGAGCTGATTTACTTCAAACTAACATTTCAAAAACAGCCCAAGATCACTCAGCAAAAGTGTGTCCTAACGTTGTGTGTGCAACAGCCAAAGAAAATTCACCTGCCCCAAGGTGGGACTATGAGCCAGAGTGGGCATCACTCCTCCGTGGGCAGTTCACACCTCTGCTTTGGGAACAACACTAGCCTGAGGAGACACAGCTCCTGGAGGTATGGCCAATGTGATGCCATTCACCACCACAGTTAAGTGAGCCACTGGCAACTGGAAAAGCTAAAGGACCGAGCCTCACAGTGGGCCTGCCTGCAAACGGAGCAGAAGCAAAGGTGGAGGGCTGCTGTCCACACAGCAGCCTTCACCCTCTCTCCCTCTGCATCCAACGATCAACATCACAGCACTTGTTTCCTTCAGCCTCCAAACGGCTAGTTTCTCAATTAGAGAAATTTTAATGATCTGAATGATGAGGCGATGGCTCATCACCAACTGGTCTGTCATTATCTAAGTGACTTATGTTAAAATGTGGTTAAGGTCTGATTCATTTTGATCAAGTACCAGAAGGAAAAAGAAAAATGGACGTTGTGTTTCTGATTCTTAGTAATCTAACGGCTGAGGTCAGGTTTCCAAAGAAGGCCTAAGATCAAGCAGAGGGCGACAAAGCCACCGGGCAGCCTCACCTTGTTGATCGGGCTCTGCGTTCCGAGAGATGAGGGCGCTGATGGCAGGGAACGTGATGCTGGACATGGCGGCCACTGTGCCTGCCGCCCACATCATCCTGAAACGACAGGAGGCTGCACTCAGGCCCAAGCAGCTCAGAGTTAACACACTCTCTGCACTGAAAGCACACAGGCCTGCTTCCTTGTGCTACATTCTAACTTTTCCTCCTTCATTTATTTTCCTTCAAAAAAGTAACTTTAATACTGATCACTTCACAGGTTGGCAGTAGAGAGAAGGCCCAAGAAACCTTTTTAAAATTTTCCATTAAAAAATGTTTTCTTACTTTTTTTCATGATATAAGTTTCCCCCGTATTATTACAGGGGTATAGTCCTTTAGGAACAGTTACAAGTGTACCATTCTGCTATTTAAGTGCCTCAGGACACTGCGGGTATGGGCATATTCTAAGCATATGTAACTGTTTCACTGGGGCTGCTCCTCCAAGGGGTCCTCACTTGCCGGTATGCTACTCCCCACTGCTCACCAGCAAGAACGCATGGACATACTTGTTTAGCTACACATCTGTTTGTTTTGTATTCTGCACAAAGGTTGCCTTACATCAGAGACAAAACATGAGATATATTTTACTTCCATTCTCTTTTCCCTGGTTCTCCTGTAGGTGTCACCTCTGTGAAGTTTGTGAGGGAACTTTTGTCTCTACAAACACATTTATTTCTCACTGACTTCCTATGCTCACACTGAATGTGAACCACGCAGCTGGCCAGCCCACGTGTCACCCAGCAGAGTCTGTTTTCCTTTTTCTTAATGACAGAGACGTATGTGTGTGTCAGTAAAGTGTGAGGGAAGTGAGATCCCAGCTTGGATTATGAATTACTGCGATGAACTCTACTGGGAAAGGCCTTTTTATGAAAAAGAAAAAAACCTTCATAATGGAAGTCTTTTTAATATTATTATGACTTTGAATCAGTTACTAAACCAAAGATCATAAAATCAAAAGAATATGAAGACCCCAAAAAAACTGATCTGATAAAATAGCACGTGTTTCCAATGAAGTGTGAAAGCTCGGAATAGACATGGCTATTTCCTACGTGTGGCCACACTATCGGTGCTAGCTCCTTTGCACACAGTGGGACCAACTGGTGCACCACAGGGACAGGCACACCGGGACACTCTCCAGGCACTGGAAACCACTCTGATTCCCTCTTATCCACAAAGTGTATTGCAACGGGAATCTATGAGAATAACTGCCCCAAATTCAACTGTTTTATTTGATAAAAGTTATATTATCATCCAAGGTGTCTCAATTATGGCAGCAAAAGTTGCCAAAACCTGTCAGTTTTCCTGGTGTTCTTGTGATGTCCTGAAAGTTAACAAATGTGTTTAAAAGCTGACATAAAAACTTTATTGGGGCAAAAGGAAAGAAGGACATACATTCAATTAATCAATCACGCACCGAAAGCCTGCTGAGGTGAAAGCAGTCTTGATAAAGAATGCTGAATTGTCGAGTTCCAACCTTGCCCAGATTAAAGCCTAATGATTTCTTAAATGTCAACCACACTACACTAGTAAAGCAATCCTTGCACCCTTCTCATCACACTCAACCCACTGGAACGCCGGTATGAGAATGAAAGAGTTCAGCTTACCAGGCCTGAGATCCAAACCCGTACCAGGCCAACTGGAACATCTGGAAGCCCAGGCCAAGGAGGACAGTGTTCTTGTTTCCCAATGACCTCATCAAGATGCTAAGAAAGACTGTCTGCAAAGTCAAAGGGACAACCATGTGAACATCAGAGAGGCTGAACAAAAGCTCCGTAGGTGAGAAGCAGCTCCCAGTGACCATGGACTCCTAAGGCTCGGAGGCCTGCCCACAGCCTGAGGCTGCAGAGGGCTGGTATGTCTGTACCACCACGCAGTGCACATGAGCCTGCATCCTGCTGGCGATGGATGCCCATCTGGTGCTCTGCCAGTACTTCCCAAGGTTCTCACAGCCAGGCAGTTCCCACGATGAGGTGAGACACAGCCCATGATGTTGAGAAATGCCAATCTCTTAAGTATTTTACTGGTAAGCCACGGCTGAACAGTTACTGAGCACATGAAAATCTGCTGCAAAGTTAACAGCTTTACAAATTTAAGACTGATACCAGGTTTTATTTTAACAAACAACTAGTTAAGACAGCCTGAACATAACAGACTCCTCTGGACTGACTTACTAAACAACAAGAAAATATAATCAATGTGAAAGCATACCAAAGTTTATGTTTTCTAATGCAAGTGAAGTTCAAAGTCCTTTGCCTTGACACATTTCCGTGAGTCTCGTCAATACTAGTGTTTGGGTGAAATGGTTCTGCAGCCTTCTCATTTCTTAACACAAATGTTACAGAAAAGCAATCCCTCCCTGCCCTGGTCCCAAGGGGCTCTTTCACAGGGACAGCCCCGTGCGTGTCCTGGTGGGGTGAAAGCACCTGGGCGTGATGGCGCCTGCCTCTGCTGCTGCTTTTCCCTTACAGCACTTAGTCACACACACTGACTCACGTGTCCTCAATCCTGGGGACAGCAGCCACCACCTTCCACTTCTGTTTAACTTTTCCATGTTGCAGCAACTCTGTAACGTTATCTTGGTTGAGCTCATTTTATAAAATCTAAGGGCAGACTGCCGTTGAATTTGGTTGTAACAAATGCAAATAAAAGAACTGACTCAGCAGGGGTTATGACAAATATTCTAACAAGTACAGAAAGTTTCACTAAATTCTCCCTAAATCCTGACCTCAGTATTCTATCAAGAAGGAAGAACTTCAGCAGCACTGTGTTGGTCAGCTTCCTGGAGGTGACAGACCCAGCAAGCCGTGACAACGTTCCCAGGCAGGGGCTGAGGAAGCAGTTAAGGCCTCTCTCTGTACTTGGAGCTGTGGCTTACTGTGATAATTTCTGATTATCAGGATCAAAACAAAACAAATGCCACTCACCTGAGCCACAATAGAAAGAATTCCTACCATAGCTATGAAAGCTACAATTTTCACAGATCCAAAACCTATGACCTAGGGAAATGGAAAGAAAACAAGTAATACGGATACTATACAAGCAACACATTAAAAAATGTCATGTTCTAGTGAAATAAAGAGGTAAAATAGCTGGCCAGTCAGGACAGTACTGAAAGCTGAACTTTCTATAGCCCTCACTATCAACAGCCAGCACCCACGCTGTGGAAGTTTTTCGTGTCTTCCCTGTCACTGCCCACCTGTTCTTTCATCTTGTCGCTCCATTCCCAACCCACAAACTGACAGATGTGAGAATGTCAAACTGTAAGAGAATATGCAAGAAAATGATCTTTGATTCTGTCGGTTCGGAATTTGCTCATCAGCTAAATCAGTGGTTTTACTCTCATTCTCCTCAGAAATCACGTAGCTGAAGAGGGAGAGAGGAGGGGTGCAGAGACGCAGGCACGCCAGGACACCGCGCACAGCCAGCAGCGTGCATGTCTTACGGGCTTATTGGCCGTCTATATACCTTTGCTGGAGGAACAGTCAAAACCCTTTTTTCCAATCAAGCTGTCTTCTGAATTTCCAAGTTCTATCCGATACAAATTCCTTATCAGATATCTGATGTCCAAATACAGGACACTGTTTTCCTGAAAATGTGTGGTATGTTAACCTCTTTTTAAGGTTAGCACAAATATGAAATAAGCTGGAATAATTCTGATTTATTGTGATCTTAATAGCAACATAAACATGTAGAAAAAGGCCAAAAAGAATAATCATAACTGTTCATTATCTGTGTGAAGACAGATGATATATTTGGAAAAAAAGGGGGAAAAAAAAAAAACAAAAAACCCAAAACCTGGGGCAGGCCGTGTGGTATAGTAAGTTAAGCTTCTGCCTACAGTGCTAACATCCACATTAAAAAAAAAAAAGCAAAAAACAAAAACCAAAAATAGTTATTTAAAACATGATGACATGTGGATGCCAATAGCAGTTTTACTCATAACTGCTAAAACCTGGAAGCAACCAAGGTTTCTTTTAATAGGTGAATGAACTGTGGTATATATTATTCAGTGCTGAAAAGAAATGTAAAACTATGAAAAGACATGAGGGGGGCACTTGAGTGCACTTAAATCAGTTTGAAAAGGCTATACACTGTATGATTCCAAACATACCTTCTAGAAAACACAAAATCAGGGAGACAGTAACATATTAGTGGTTACCAGGAGTGAGGCTAGGGGAGAGGATGAAAAGGCAGAATGCAGAGACTTCCAGTCGGTCAGAACACCCTGCGGGATACTGTACCGGTGGACACGGTAGATCTATGTCATCATATGCCTTTGTCAGACCACAGAACGGATGACACCAAGACAGATCCGTGATGCAAACCACGCACTCTCAATGGTGTGGAATGTGCTCACGTAGGCTCATCAACTGTGCCAAATGTCAAACTAGGGCTTGAGATGCTGACTGTAGGGCAGGCTAACACGGGTGGGCCCGCGGTGCCATATTGTAATTCTCTGTACTTTTCATTTTACTGTGAATCTAAAACTTCTCTCTCTCTCTCAAAACAAAAGTGATAAATCTTATTTCTGCTGTTTTTTAAGGGAAGCATATTCCATGATGAATATATCACTACATTTTAAGTCTTCATTGTGTTAAAGGCTGCTGTTAACTAATTGTGGTCACCGCTGACATGTCAATACAGTTTCTTCTCTACAGTGGATTCTCTGAACTGTCCTCAGCAGAACCCAGTCTGAGTTTCCTGGACTTCGAAGGCAACAAGGCATCCACCACTCACCTGCCTGAGATACAGGAAAAAGCTCGAATACTGTCCAGCCTCAGGAAGGTAGGAAAGAAACACGGTGATGCAGATAAGTAAGACAGTAGAATCTTGTCCAACTTTCTTCAATGACTGAGAATAAACAGAAAGGAATTATGTAACAGGCAACAGACATTAATGGCATCATTGTTCTGGACAACTATTTTACTCCAATTATATAAAATGGACAAGAAAAAGTCAGATGGATTATAATATTAAATTTACCATCTTCTTGCCAGAGATAACAGTTTCAAATATCACTGCTTTTTGAAAAACATTTGTTCAACTCGCCATGTAAACAGAAGTTCACATCTCAACACACCCTGTCACTGTAAACAGGCCCTGAAACAACAGCCCTCTAGACTCCTATGTTCAATTTGCCAGTATACCTGCTAGATAAATGAGTGTGCTCCAGCTGTGGGGTCAGAGAGGTAAGAACTTTTGGAATATGAACAACCCTGTTGAGAAAAGCTCATTTACAGAGTTCAGACCCAAGCGCCCTGCTACTATGAAGGGATGGAAGCACTGCAGAGTGCATACTCTTTAATATAATGAATAGCAAAAGCATCTAATGTTGGTTTATTTATTTATTTAATTTATTTGGGTACTTAAAAAAAATCCCAGGGGGAATAGATATGATGAAAACCTATGGATTTCAATTGTTTTTTTTGCACTATAATAAAGTTAACTTCTTAGTTTTCCACAATTTTTTCAACAAGAGCTTTGAGCAAGGTAAAACAGAGGAGGTACTTTTTTCTAGTTGTGTGACAGAAGTTCATACTTAACCAGAGTGGGGGAGAGTTTATAGAAAATCACCTGCTCAATCTGAAAAAATTAAGGTTCAAAGTGCATACAAATTAGTAGCTTAAAAAAGCTACTTAAATCACATGCGTTTATCTTTTAGAAATAAAACGAATGAAAACGACCACTTCAATGACTATCTTCACTGACTTTACTTCAAAAGGATGGAACTTCCTTTCCAAATTGCCACTAGGAACTCACTGGACATTTGTTTTTTCTCTCTTCCCAAAGGACGTGCATTAAGTACCATGTCTAAGAGTACACATAACCCCACTCCTCTCATGGAATTTACTGTCTTTAGTGTAGAAAACAAACGTGGATCCAGAATTTCTGGAACCTCTGAGGTTACACACATATCCTCTTGTTTGCGTAGCTTAGATGTAGGGAAATGTTTTCATGTTTTTATTTACCGCGAAAGGGTCTGCTTGTTTCCAAGAAATTTGAGCTCCCCAGGAGACTGGTCGCATTTTCTCAGGAAGAGATTCCGGAACAGCCACCAGGATGAAGCAGATGTCCAGGAGGGCCACTACTGTGGCCACCAGCACCACAAGGCTGTCCCCGTAGGTGGCAGAAAGGTACGCTCCAATTGCTGGGCTGCTGACCAGACTAGCGGCAAAGGTGGCTGAGACCTGTGGGAAAACACGTCGTCTCTGAGGATCTCCTGCAGGGGCACACAGCAGCTCCGCCCGGCTTCAACAAGAAGACAAAAGCCAAGTGCGGCACACAAATTTGAAGCATAAAAGGAAAGTGATTCTGTTACAGATTTTATTCACGAGCAATTCACTGGAGAGCTACAGGAATCAAACACAAGGCTCTAACTAGAAATAATGGTGAAGACATTCTCCACAGATAAAACACTCACTCGTGTCTTGGTTAACTGGGAATGAAGACATGGACACAGATCATAAATGTCCGGCTGATGGTAAAATCCACAAATTACTCAAGGATGGTGCCTGCTTTCACTTTTAATAAACAAACTGCACTGTTCCACCATTTTATCTTTTGATGACTATTTCATTAGCAATAACAGGAAGGCAAAAAGCTCAGCTAGTCTTAGAGGAAAAAAAGAAACTAGTAAAAACATTTCAGAAAGTAGGTAAAGTCTTCTGACCAACGACTGGATTTCCATCGCCCTGTCACGTGTGGCAGAGATCACAAGCTGGAGGATGGCACCTGTGGCCTAAAGCTACACCGGGCTTTCCACACTGCACTCCTGCAAGTGTGCAAGGGCCACATTTTAAGAATGCAACCTGAATATGCAGCTTAACGGACTTCTCCAAATCAGAATGAGACTGAATGTCAAGAATGTACCCATAAGTTGTATGTGTGTGTGCATTTAAGATCACTTGAAAGGCAAAAATTACAGACAGGCGTGGGGAGGAGAGAGAGAGAGAGAGAGAGACTTAAGTGTTCTTTATTTGCTCTGAATTCCCTTTTCTATAATTTAGTATTGACCACTTATTTTTAAATCTCTTGCCAGTGAATTTTTAAAATACAATTATGGTTCTTGTTGGGGCCGGTGCTATGGTATCACTCTAAAGGCGCTGCCTGCAATGCTGACATCACATAAAGGTGTCAGCTCAATCAAGCTGCTCCACTTCCAACCCAGATCCCTGCCAACTTCTGATAGCAGCAGGTGATAGCCCAAGTCACTGGGTTCCTGCACCCCAACACTGTAGACCCAAAGAAGCTCCTGGCTCCTGGTTTTGGATCAGCTCGGCTCTGACCACTGTGGCCACCTGGGGAGTGAATTAGCAGTAGGAAGATCCCCTCTGTCTCTCTGTAACTCTGCTTTTCAAATGAATAAAAAAAAAAAAAGATCTGGCCCATGACCTTACCCAACCATAAGCAGGGCTTCTCTCGTGTTCCTGGGTAATGTCAGCGACGTATGCGAATATCACAGAGAAGGTGACTGAGAAGACGCCAGACACAGAAATCATTGCAAAATACCACCTGTGAAAAGATCACCGTATTCCTGAGAAGCACTGTACATGTACACTTTTATAACCAGAGCCAGATATCACACAAACTTTAACCCATAAATATATGTATGTGTACTTAAAAGTAGAAAAATAAAATTAAAATTAAAATGGCAATAAGTAGAATCATACTGATCATGTCATTGTCAGAAGAGAGCCAGGACACACATTCTAAAACCCTCCCCCAAAAACAAGACAAGAAAAAAAGGGGAAGCTGAGCCTCTTTCTTATCCTCAGATCCAAGGTGACAAGAAAGAGGAACACTGGTGGTGCTAAGGGCAATGGCCACATCCAGTCTGTTCACTGCATGAGCTGGGCTTAGTGAGTGCCCACGAACAAGACCATTGAGGAGACGGTCAGAGAAACACAGCGGTGACTGCGGTCAAGGGGCCATCTGTGAAGCAGGTGTTTCTGATGTCTATACGCTTTCCAAGCACTGTGTGAAGTGACACTACTGTGCGAGCTGTGCCATTTACAGCATGGTGGACCGAATGGCGAAGCCTGCAAGGCCCAGACACTCCATGCCCATTCGGCACTGCTGCCCCACACACTCCACGAGAGCCCAGGAAAGCAGCCTCAGGTTTAAGGACTGGAGACAAACAATCCTCTGGAAAGACACAGTGGAAGAAAACGAAGAATTCAGTGCAGGCTGAATTTAAGGGAGTCAACAAAATGAAAGCTTTTTCAGTATCATAGGTTTAACTGAGAAAGACATATACAACAAATGAGCTTCCAGAATCGATACAAGAGCAAAAACATTAACAAATATTAACAAATATTAGTAATTCTGAGCAAAATTCTATTGTATGTTCACACTGATAATATATATAATAAATAAACAGTTATTTTGGATCACTAACAGAATAATTCTTTAAACTCATAGTGTACAAAGAAAACAAGATTCAAGTTTCTTTTTAAATTATAATGTGAAAGGGCTGGGTGATGTGTTAGCTCATCACCCTTATTCTTTGATTTTTCTCTAAAAAAATTATGTTACAATTCTGAAAATGATACACACACACTTATTAAAAATTGCTTTTGATGTTGTTGCCACAGTTGTCAAGAACATACACCTATGAGGACCTGCAACAGGGCAGGGAGGGTAGAGGCATGGGTGGAGGGCAAAGGACACTGGTGGGACAAATACTTCCAATTTTCCCTTTCTTCCCTTTTCTCCTGTATGTGGAGCAGTGGGCAGGGAGAGAGGAAAAGGTGCACATGGGAACTGGACTGGGGGCACGCTAGGCCTGGCTGGGCTGCAATATATGTCAGCTGTACTTGAACTGGGTTGTGGGGGGCAGGTCCAGTCAAGGCCACTGCATCCGCTGGCATGTGCAAAGGCCAGGATGAGTGCTAACTGGTTGGGTTTTGCCACAGCATCTATGCCCTGACAGGGAGCTAGTCGTGTCATACTGGAGTGCAGTAGTCCCCGGAAAGTGCAGGATCTGGGACAGGGACTGGGCCTAGTGAGGAAGTTGTGGGCACTCCTCTACTGGCCTGCAGCTTCCTGCTGGTGTGCATGAGAACCAAGGCCTTGAATGGGCCAGGCTGAACAAGGCAGCAGCACCCACTGGCCTACGTGTGGACTGGTTCATGTGCTGTGGTGGCCTGAGCTAAGCTACAACACCCACAGAGAGTCCAACTGGGATACAGCAGGGGCCTGACTACTTGCAGCACATACTGGCACATGCAGGAACCCGGGCTAGGGCGGGACCTGGTAGGGGTCATTGGAGGTCACCCCACGTAGGCTGCAGTTCCCATTATTGTACACAGGGCCAGGTCTGTGGCTTGCAGTATCTTTCGGTCTGCATGGGATGTGGGACCACGGACAGAGAACTGAGCAAGCAACTCATGGCGTGCACTGGTTGATGCTGTGACGGTTTATCTGGATTCTATACTGAGTGGCACATGCATGAGTCAGGTCTGACATCACCCAGGTGAGGTTTCTTGGGGGACTCCCCAACTGGACCACTACAGGGAGCATCACAGGATTCGTGGTCCGACCTTGGAGTGCCCGTGTTGGGACTGGGCCTCCTCAACTGCTGGTGTCTAGGAACTACCAAAGCCACAAGCGATACCCTCGGCACATTCTTTTCTGCATTGGGACTTCTAAGATGTTTCAGATTTTCTTTTCTTCTTCCAAACTCTGGACTATTTGCATGTATACATACAATAAGACAGCTTAGGGAGAGGACAGAAACCTAAAAGTGGAATTCATGTATGTTTCACACATATCTCACACATGAACTGAGGTGACTTCACATAATGTTTCAGTAATTGTGGTATGTGAAAAATTTGTGTGTGATGAACTATGTCTATCAGGACTTGTTGCCATCATGCTAACACCTGAAACGCTGTCCCGTGGGGCAGTTGGGATTTAGCTGGGGACGACGAGCAGGCGTTGTGGTGCATAACGCACACAGGCAGCAGGGTAAGGGGCTTGGGGCACTCACCATGGGCTGATCCTCATCAGTGGGATCGGGAAGCAGGTGAAGAAGACTGTGCCCAGGAGGAAGGGCTTCCGCCCCCACACGTCAGACAGAGCTCCGATGAGCGGGGCGCTCAGAAACGAGAGCAGGCCCTGCAGAGGCACACAGATGCAAAGCATCAGTTCAGACTTTATCCTCGAAGTTACTGTACACTGTATCTACCAAATACACTATCTCCAAGATTAATTTCATTGGTCCCCAAACAGAATAATATACCAGAGCACTTCAAAATGTTCACAGCCAAGAAGATGATTTCGTCTCTTCCAATCTAACTGTCGTCCAAATAAAAAGTAACTCTTCAAAAATGAAACTAAAAGAAGACTCTCTTTGCACCACAATAAACTTAGATTTCAATTTTCTTGTGAACTTAAAAAAGGTTTCTTTTAGTTGAGAGTCAGAATTAGAGACAGAGAGACACACCCAGAGAGAGAGATGGTTCAGTTCCCAAGGGGTCACAAAGGCCAGGACTGGGGCAGGAGGAAGCCAACAGCCAGGAGCTTTTCCCAGGTCTCCCACATGGGTGGCCCGGGCCCAAGTACCTGGGCCACTGTCTGCTACTTTTTCAGGCTGGTGGCAGGGAGATGGATCAGAAGTGGAAAGGCTGGGTGAGGGATCGGCACTGTAAGGGATGCTGGCATCCCAGGAGGTGGCTTTCCCACCAGGACAACATCAGTCTTGCAGTACTGACTCTGGCAGAACCACAAAATGCGTTTAATTAGCTTCTCCAACCAAACACAAGCAATGTAGACTCACTCTCCAAGAACTCACCTAAGGGTAAGCTTAAATACGATAGCTGTATCAATTTCTCCTTTTCCTTTTTATCTCCACTGCTTAGATGCTCCAACAACCCAACACCAGATTGCCAATGACACTCCTCGTCCTCTTAATGAGCATTAGCAACTTATTTCAACCTTTAATTAAACTGCCCTGTTTTATATATGCTATGAACATCAGTACCCCCAAATCCTTCCTGAAAACAAGCCAAGAATAAACAATATTTAGTTAGGTTATGAATGCAACAAATTCCTGTGGGTGAACTGATGAAATGGTAAGTGCAGGCTGTGAGGAGGCTGCCAGCACAATGATACAGACCGACATCACAGAGGCTGGAAGGCAAACTACACTCCATCCAACTCCCGAGTTTTATCAGAAGGGGAGAGTGGAACACACTGATATATTTTAACCTCTTTTTCACAGGCTTTTCTGATGACACACCAAAACTGCAGTAAGAGTAATGAGATCATGTGACAGAACTCAGAAAGTCACGGCCTGAACATCAGCTCGGCCAAAAAGATGGACTATCCAAGGAAGGCTGTTTTCTTCTGCAGTTTCAAAGTCAGTCTAAAAGAGAAGGTTGTAACTTTGATCTGTTGGTAGTTGAGAAGCCCAAGATTCATTTAAGAATTAAAACTGATATAAACTAATACACACTAATGAATATTAGAGAGCCATATAAAATATCCATACAACTTTTATCTTATTATGTCTACGTATGTGCTATATTTATTATGGCTTTGATATTCTAGAAAAAATTCAGATTTCAGTTTCCAGAACAAAAGAAAATTCTTTCTGTGTGTCCCACCTACAGTCCCAGAGTTAAACTCCTGAGCATCCCGGCTGTGGTTGACCGTGAACCACAGACAGGTTTCTTACCTTTACACCTTGAATGAGACCATTCATGAGAAATGTGTGCTGAGGAAATGTTTCATGCAAAACCTAAAACAAAACAAACATATCAAGTTCAAATGCAAATTAAGGGGAGTGATTCCTGTCTCGTACGGATAGCAAGCAACCTAAAAAAGACTAATTGCAATGAAAAATTCTAAAATATCCATGAAAAAATGTTTTGAGAACATGAAAAAATTAAAAGAACGATTGAAGTAAAATCTAACAAAGCTAGGACCGTCCAGCAGGCACTCCTCACAGGCGCATATAAACTCAGGGACGGTTTCATAACCATTAGGTAGCCTTACGTTTGTGTTACAGCAATTCCAGACTAGCAGCACTTCCAACTGTCTAGTAACATATAAAAGCTAAAATCAATTCTGAATAGCTCATCCACCCAGGTGCTGAATCCAACATGCATATAATTTTTCAAATATAATGCTCACCATATAGATGCAAAAGGAAATGAAACATCCCAAGGAGGAAGCAAACATAAGTCAAAATGAGATAACAAAACACACAGGAGCACACTTGCCACAACTTCGTGTTTTGGAATGACCCAGCCCAGATCTTAAAATAAGTACGTTTACTATGCTTCAACTTTCAGAAAACATCTGAAACGCTTCACTACAAACTGAGCAAAGGACCTTGCAAATTTAAGAAAACAAAAAAGATTGCAGAGTAGAAAAAAGTACCAATTTAGAAACAACACTTTAAAAAATATATATTTATTTCATTTTCATTAAAAAGGCAGATTTACAGAGAGAGGGAGATATAAAGATCTTCCATACGCTGGTTCTCTCCCCAAGTGCTGCGATGGCCAGAACTGAGCCAATCTGCAGCCAGGAGCCCAGAGCTGCTTTCAAGTCTCCCGGACTGCTGCAGGCTCCCACGGTTACGGGCCATCCTTGACTGCTTTCCCAGGCCACAAGCAGGGAGCTGGTTGGGAAATGGGATCCTGATGCATGCAAGGTGAAGATCTTAGCCACTGAGCCATCATGTCAGGTCAAAAACTAGACACTTTTAACACTCCATCAAACTAGGCTGGACAGAGGAGCACACAATACATGATACCTGAGGATGGGCAATGTATAATGAACAGAAACTTACTAGCTCACAGCTCGGAGGCTGGGATGTCCTAGGCCAAGACACCACGACCGTCTCATTGCTAAAGAGGAAAAGCAAGTGCGAGCAGGAAGCGGCTAAACGCACCCTTCTACTTCAGCATCAACCTGTCCATGTTGTAAGGTGCTCGACCCTAGCCACCTCTGCAGGCCTTCCCTCTGAATACTGTTAGAACGGGAAGGAAATGTCAACACTAGTTTTGAAGAAGACAGACATCCAACTCAGAGCCGAGGACCAAAGAAGCTATCCAGAATGTCTCAGGGCAAGAGAAACAGATTTAATGAGAAAGTCTAATCCAAGCACAAGTCAACTATTCCACAAGTGAAATGAAGCAGAGAAGGTATTTTCACAGCCATCGGCTGCAAACGTACCAGAAGCAATGAAAGATATCAAAGCAGAGATTAAAATAGCCTAACAAATCTTAAGCAGTATAAAAAGAAATCCACACTTACAGCCAAGCTAAAACAAAAAGACAGGGATCACAGGCCACTACAGCTACACTGACTTGGGGACTACTTCAACATGGACACGTGTGAAGTTGAATATGTTTTCCCTGCTATTGTGTACAGACCACTTTCCTGCTAAACTGTGGTCTTAACTTTTAATTAGTTGAAGGTTTTTTTTTAAGTGAACCCAGTAAGCCTCTGACTTCAACGTAAACTAAAAACGTTATCTCAAAATGACGTTCTCAGAACTATCGAAACCACTTGAGCAGAACTCTCAGAAAATGGCCCACACTGGGGACCCGGGCTGGCATCGGGCAACGGTTCCCCGCCCCCTGGCTGATGTGGCCGTTAGGGGGCTGGGCGTTCTACTCTATCTCCCTCTCCCCACACAGGAAGAAAAAGAAAACGGGGAAACAATGGTCTCACCCTTCCTACCCTGATCAACTGTGTAAACATCATCAAAATAAAATTAAAAAATTAAATAAAGAAAAAGCTATGCATGGAATTAAAAAATTCTACACACACACACACACACACACACACACACACACACACACAAAGAAACTGCAGAAAACCAAAGGCAGATTGTTAAAAACAGCCACAGGAATAATAGGAATACAGATTGTCTTAAATTAGCAGCAGCTAAACTACTAAACAGCTTTTTCACAACAGTGGAATCCAGACAAGAAACGTGTTATCATAAAAAGAGAAAAATTATTAATCTAAAATTGTATACACAGCTAAAACGTATTGAAGAACTTAAAGCAAACCTACATTTTTGATGAAGTAAAAGCTGCAAGTAACTTTACAGACTTTAAGGAAGTGAAATATAAAAGATGTATGTCTAGTAAAAGGAAAATCATCCAAATGGAATGTCAGAGTGACAGAATGAAATGAAGAGAAATAAAGAAAACGGCAAACACTTGGCGAATGAACCCTGATGTTGCCACAACCCCCTCCCCCCCCAGTGTATCATGTGGGTTTTACTGTTGGCTTGCATGTGAGCTGGGTTGAGGAAAAGCCAGGCTGGGCTAAGCGACTGTACCCACTGGGGCATGCGTGAGCCAGAGTAAGTGCAGGCTGCTTGGGCTCTGCCGCAGAATCAGCTGGCAAGTGCTGGGAATGTCAAGCCAGACTCCAGAACCACCTAGAAGTGCAAGATGTGGGGCTGGTAGGGAAATTGTGAGCACCTCTCTGGTGGGCTATAGCTCCTACTGGTGAGCCTGAGAGCCAGGAATGGGGGAGGGCCTGGCTGGACAGACACTGGCAGCCCCTGGCATAAGTATGGGTTGGATGGTGGGGTTGGTCAGGCTGAGCTAGACTCCAACACCCATTGACGTGTATGAGAGCCAGATGGGATGCCGGACAGACCCAACCAGTCTGCTGCACATACCAGCATGTGAAGAATCGGGGCTGAGGGCAGGCACGGTGAGGGTTACCGAGGGTTGCTCCGACTAGGCTGCAGTTCCTACTGGTGTGCATGAGGGCCACACGTGTGAGGGGCAGGGTCGAGCTGGACCACAGCATCCACTGGTTTGCATATGAGATGGGGCTGGGGAAAGAACTGAACTAGCATCTACAGCCACCATTGTGTGTGTAGGCTGATACAGGGAATGGACTGAGCCCAACACTCACTGGCTGCGCACACAGGAGTCAGGTCTAGAGTCACCTCTCGTGAAGTTTCTTGGGCATCTCAGAACTATGAAAACCACTTAAGCAGTACTCTCGGAGCATTCTCCACCTTGGGAACCTGGGGATGACATGGGGTGGCTATCCCCCATTCCTGGGCACTGATGGCAATTGGGCTGCTGGGAGTGTCCCCTCCCCTTCTCTTCCCACTTTCCCCAGATACAGGCAGAAAAAAGACTGGGAACAGTTACCTCAACCGCTTTCCCCATCCCTTGTCCCTCTCCACTCTAATCAGTGGTCCACACGGGCATGCATCCTTTGCAACTATGTAAACATTATCAAAAATAAAATAAATGTATTTTTCAAAAATGCAGGAACGGGGCTGCCATTGTGACATAATGCTTAAAGCTGCTGCATGTGGTGCCAGCACCGCGTACGGCACAGGCTCAAGTCCCAGCTGTTTCACTCCAAATCCAGCTCTCTGCTAATGGCCTGATAAAAGCAGTGAAAAATGATGCCCATGTCTGGGCTTCTGCCACTCACATGGGAGTTCCGGATAAACTCCTGGCTCCTGGCTTTGGTCTGACTCAACCCTGGCCATGGCGGCAACCTAGAGAGTGAACCAGCAGATGGAAAAACTCTCTTGCAAATAAGTAAATATACTTTTAAAAACATGTCAAGAATTAGAATTAAACAAGGGCAACTCCAACATAAAGTGAACTGCAGCTGTGAAAACATAAACCAACTTTTGTTCCTTTCTTATTAAAGACCAGCATTATCACCTCTTTGTCTAGGCAGAGAATGCCGGAGGGAATATGTCAGACCAAAATTCTGTCATGAACCAGAAGGGAAGAGCGGATCAGTTCTGACAACTAAAACACCCAAGGGCTACTGTGCTGTGGCATGAAAGGTGGGTGAGGACCCGAGCAGCAGAGACCCCTTCAGCACAAGTAATGACACCAAGGGGCCCAGGGAGACAATGGGTTCAAGTGCTAACTCAGTGCCTCTCCCATGTACCACAGATCACGGTGAGCAACCCCGCACTCTCTCCTAAATGGTGACTTCAACCAAGTGAACTTCCGATGCGCATTCTCTTCTAAGGAGTAATCAAGAACACGGTTTTCACATGTTTTGGATATTGAGTAAAACTTTCTGTGTCCATTCCAGTATTTCGTGCATTTTTATATTAGGTTGTCTCCATTTGCCTTTATATAGTCTGGATATAGATTCTTTATCAAGATCTATATATTGATCTCAATCTTGCGGTGTGGCCCACCTTTTCACACTGAACAAGTTCTTCATTCTGAGGGGAGATGAGAAGAGGTTGGTCAGTGAGCACAAAGTGCCTATGGCCCGGGAGACCAATGGAGGCTGGTCCCCGTGCTTGGGCCTCTATGTCCGTGTGGGAGACCTGGAAGAAGCTCCAGGGTTTTGGCTTCGGACTGGCCCAACTCTGGCCATTACAGTCATGTGGGGAGTGAACCAGCAGAGGGAAGATCTTCTCTTTCTCTGTCATTCTGCCTTTCCAATAAAAATAATCTTTAAAAAGCAAAACAAAAAATTACATGGCAACTGATTTTGAAAAATTCGATTTAGTTGCTTTTTCCCCAATTTTCTTCCTGTATGCTTAGCACATTATTATTATTTATTTAAAAGATGAGAGGATTAGAGACAGACAAATTAAAATGGAGAGGGTGGGGGTGGGGAGAAGGAGACAGAAAAGAAACTCAGTATCACATGCCAAGAAATGGCTACAGATAAGTGAACTGAAACAGAAACTTGGACATTTTGATAATTATTACTGTCATTTCGTAAGACAGTTCCAATCTCCTATTTGCTATGTCCTTAAGTCAAAGCTCACTAATATTACATAAAGAAGTTAATGAATTTCAACTGTTTGGCAACTAGCTCCTAAACAGGCTTAGAGATTTCCCTATATATGAAAAGACAGCTTAAAAAAATTAGTGAAAAATAGAACTAACGGGTAATTTAACCTGAGGACTTCTCTGAATCTCACACAAGGATCAAGTTCAGCAATACTTACAGTCAACATTGGAGTTGTCAGCAGGCCCCAGGCGAAGAATTCAAGGAAGATGACAACTGCAGCGTGATAGACACTGGGCCGGCCAACGCCTGGTAACTGAAACAGAACAGCAAAGAGATAGAAATCTATTATCTTAAAATACCATAAAAACATGGTAAACAAACCTGAACCCGCCAATATTATGTAAGATAAAACTTCACAGGCCCTAACATGATAAACTGTCTACATGTTCTGTCCCCCTTCACCCCCTCAAATCACTAGCACTTTGAAGAAAACCAAACACTGCCTCTTTAAGAGATCCTCATTCCAGGACCTGAAGGTCCCTCAGGGCCTAGTTCCTCAGCAACTTAACATCCTCAGGTCAGTACCCTAAGGAGACAGCCTCAGGGTGGCACAGGTGTTTACATCTCCAGAGGAAAGCCTTAAAGGCCTTACAAACATCACTTAAAGGCCTTAAAGGCCTAGATCAAATCCACAAGCACCTGCCAGCAACTAAAGATGCCAAAATTCACCTTGTTTTAGCATTGTACCTAACTGGTTAGTTCACTAACACCTGTGACTTCTGAAGATGAAATCTAAAATGACTTTTGAGTGGGTGATGTGGCACAATGGGTTAAACTTATTACTGGGGACGCCTGCGTTCCATGCCAGAGTACCTGGCTCAAGTCCTGGCTCCCCTCCTTCCAATCCAGCTCCTGGCTAACACACATCTGGGAGGTAGTCAGGACGGTGCAAGCAGGCAGACAGGGACTTCCAGCTCCAAAGCTGAGGGCTCCTCGCTCTGGCCTGACCCAGCTGCTGCAGGCCTCTGGAGAACAAATCTTAACATGCAGGGTCTCGGTTTCTCTGCCTTCCCAAGAAATAAGCAAACATTTTCAAAAGCGGTAAAATTACTTTTAATGTTCTTTGTTTTGTTGTATGGTTTCCTGAAGTCAACGTGGCATAACTTTGTAAAATCAACCCTCCAACCATGCGTGGGGGATCCAGACTCTCATCAGGAGGAAAGAGACAAATTCAGACTATAGAGCGTACACAAGACCATTGCCTGGTCGGTCAAATAATGATTAGAGAGAGAGAGACCAGAGCCATGACAATCAAATGAGTGCTTTGAAAGGCCAAATTATAGGGAGACTCAGAGGGCTCTCGTTCACTGACTCACTCCCCAGTTGGCTGTGACATTCAAGACCAGCACGGCAGGAATCCCAAACGCACTAGCAGGGCTGGACTGCAAGTGGAGCAGCCGGGACCCAAACTGGCACTCAACTGGGAGACTGGTGCTGCAGGTGGCAGCGTAAATCGCACAGTAGCACTGAGTCCATGATTGTTTTTCTACGTTATAAATTCTGCTGAGACTTAGCAAAGCACATTTGTTCACGTATTGTCTACGGCTGCCTTCTGCTCCACAGCAGAGATCAGCACCTGCAACAGAAATATATGGCTGAAAAATCTAACATACTTTCTATGGGATGTTTTTCTCTCTCTCTCTCTCTCTCTCTCTCACAAACACACACACACACACACACACACACACACACACACACACACACACACACACAAGCTCCTGACTATGAAAAAAATATGAATACATGGAATGCAAAGCAGAGTTTAGAAATACCCTAACAGGGCAGGTGGCTATCTGGGACGCTGCTGGCCACTTCGGGACTTGGCTCAGGAAAGGCAGGTGTTTCCTTGCCTCCATCACTGACACACATCGTCCTGCATCTGACACAACGCCTCTCAAAGCAGGAGCTCGAGGTGGACTGAGCTAACCACTATTTCTGGACTTTAGATTAGATGCAACAATTAGTCCTATTATTATCCAATACCTTCTTTTGATTTATTTTATTTTTATTGCAAAGAAGATATACAGAGAGGAGAGACAGAAAGGAAAATCCTCTGTCCGATGATTCACTCCCCAAGCGGCTGCCAACAGCTGGAGCTGAACCAATCCAAAGCTAGGAGCCAGGAACCTCTTCCAGGTCTCCCACGTGGGTATAGGGTCTCAAGTCCTTGGGTTAGGGTTAGGGGAGCTGGATGGGACGTGGGGCTGCTGGGATTAGAACCAGTGCCCACGTGGGATCCTGGTGTGTGCATGGCGAGGACTTCAGCCAGTAGGCTACTGGGCCCTATTTTTTTTTTTAAGATTTATTTTTATTATGTTTTTTTTTTTTATTGGAAAGGCAGATATACAGAGAGGAGAGACAGAGAGGAAGATCTTCCGTCCGATGATTCACTCCCCAAGTGAGCGTAACGGGCCGATACTATGCCGATCCGAAGCCAGGAGCCTCTTTCGGGTCTCCCACGCGGGTGCAGGGTCCCAAAGCTTTGGGCTGTCCTTGACTGCTTTCCTGGGCCACAGGCAGGGAGCTGGAAGGGAAGCGGGGCTGCCGGGATTAGAACCGGCACCCATATGGGATCCTGGGCGCGCAAGGCGAGGACTTAACCACTTGCGCCACCGCTCCGAGCCCCATACAGGGCCCTATTATCCAATACTTTTACAAGGATTCTTCACAGTGCTAATGTCAAAACGGAAATACTTAAATTTGATTTTATGAGTAATTAAAAAAACAAAATTATATACATCTGTGTAAAGTGTTGGTGTTATTGTGTTTTTAACTGGGAAAATTATTTTAAAGTATGCTGGTATTCTATGGTTAGAGAATATTGCCACAAGATAAATAATCCCTCATCCCGGCACTAATACTGAAGTCATATATAAGAAAATTATTTCATTATGACCAGTCAGTATTTTAATAATTGACACATTTCCTGTTTAGGGCACATATTGCTTATATCTGCCTGATTAATTAAATGTTCCATCAACATTAAGTTTTGGGGGGCTGCTATTGCATATGGGCACCAGTTCAAGTCTTGGCTGCTCCACTTCCATTCCAGCATCCTGCTAATGGACTGGGAAAACAACAGAGAATGGCCCAGGCCTGGCGTCCCTACACGCACGTGGGAAACCTGGAAGAAGCTCCTGGCTCCCAGCTTCAGATCAACCAGCTCTGACAGTTGCGGCTACTGGCAGACTGAACCAGCAGAAGGAAGATCTTTCACTCTTTCAGGCAAAAATACAGAAACATTTTTAGGAGTTTTTAAAATGTAACCTATTAAAGTTTACCTATTTGAAAGGCAAGGTGACAGAAATAAAAAAAGAAAACAGAGAGAGAGAGAGAAAGCAAGCTATCTCTGATCTGCGGGCCCACTCCCCACATGCCTGCCACAATGGGGAGGGGCCAGGCCAGGGCTGCAGGTGCCAAGAGGGGCTTTTGCCCTATATCTGTTATGCTAAAGCAGCAAAAATACTAAACTGCAAGGAATTCATTCATTTCACACATATCTGTTGAACTCCACCATCTGTCAGGTAGAAGTAGGGGACAATGGAGAGTTCTCATTTTATGGAATGTAAAATTATAAGTGGGAATGTAAGGCAAGAACATAGGTTAACAATGGTCTATTAAGGGACCACGAGGGCCTGGTGCAGTGGCCTAGTGGCTAAAGTCCTTGCCTTGAACGCGCCAGGATCCCATGTGGGCGCTGGTTCTAATCCGGGAAGCCCTGCTTCCCATCCAGTTGCCTGCTTATGGCCTGGGAAAGCAGTCGAGGACTGCCCTAGGCCTTGAGACTCTGCACCCATGTGGGAGATCCGGAAGAAGCTCCTGGCTCCTAATCAGCTCAACTCCAGCTGTTGTGGGTACTGGGAGTGAATCATCAAACAGAAGATCTTCCTCTCTGTCTCTCCTCTGTATATCTGACTTTCCAATAAAAATAAAATAAATCTTTTTTTAAAAGGGAGGGGAATGGAGAAACCCCAATGCCTATTAAACTGTGTCATAAAAAGAAGAATTTTTAAAAAAGAGAGAGAGAGACCATGAACAAGGCCTGGGCAGAAACTGCCCCATTTGCATCAGCAACAGTGCCAATAAACACGTGAGGTAGGCCCTAGCCAAACCAAGAGTCTATACACTACCATTGATCCTCCATATAAAGGCAGGACCACTGTTACCTGTAACCATTACGATTCCTGCAGATGACAAACTAAGGCTCGGGGAGTCTCAGTGGCCTGCTCGACTTGGCCAGGGCAGAGAAGCACACCCCTCCAGCGCATGTGCTGTGCTACTGTGCCTCTTTAAAGCAAAGCTGGAACTTCTCACAAAACCCTTAGCACATCAGACATGGCAGGCAGCATGCACCTGTAACTGAGTGACAAGTGACAGGAGTGAAATGCAGCCGGTTCCTCAGCAAAGCCGAGCACGGGCCTTCCTTAGCCGCCTACCCCACTACCACATGAACGAGTCTGGCCTGGCTACCGTGCACCTGCGTAAAAGTGCAGCTGCCACCGCCCCTCAACCTCAAACACGGAGATGAACTAGAAAGCCTGGCTCTTCTCACACACGTCACTTGTTACTTCCCTGGAGGAAGATAAGGCTGAAAGCTGCTTCCATTGGTCCATGTATCACCCCCATAAAACACACAGGACCCAGCAAACACCAACAACAAGACAGAGGCTTCCTTAACCCCAACCCCTGCCTGTCACTGTCCCTTTCCAAGAAAAACAAACAGATCTTTAAAAAGAAAAAGGAGGGGTGGTGGTGACAGCACTGTGGCACATGGAATTAAACTGCTGCTTGCCATGCTAGCATGCCATACCAAAGTACCAATTAAGGTCCTGGCTACTCAGCCTCAGACACAACATCATACTAAATGTCCCTTTGAAGCGACGGAAGATTGTTCAATACACGGCCCCCGCCACCTGTGTGGGCTCAGATGAAGCTTCTGGCTCCTGGTTTCAGCCTGGTGCAGGTTTGGCTACTGCAGCCTTTTGTGGAGCAAACCAGCAGAGGAAAGATACTGCCGTCTCTTTCTCTGTTACTCTGCCTTCCAAAGACACATTAAAAAACCAAACCAAACCACAGCCTGCCACTTCCCCCGAAATGTAGAACGCAGGTGTTCTTCCGCCTTGCCTAGTCTGGTTCCTCATCACGAGTGGCCAAAGCGAAACGAATGTCAACACAACGATTGGTTGCTTTCCCGAGGTGAGGGGTGCTGGCGTGTTCTCAGTCACACATACATAATGTTACAGCAGCTACAGT